CATGAAAAAATGATTGACGTAACGTTCACCCCGACGTCGGAACACTCGAATCCGTCCATCGCTGTGGCTGAGGTGAAAACGAGACTCGTCAGTGAATAAAACTTGTCCCCACTGCAAGGCCGTCCAGCGTAGACGCTGTCTGCACCACTGTAGACGTGCTTGACGGTGGTTTCCTGTCAAAATGGGACGTCTGGCGGGTCTTCTGGCGACAATCCCTGCACATTTGAGGCGACGACGTACGGTTTGTGAAGATATTCGTCGAAGGCCAGGGATGCGTCTTGCAGTCACTGTTGCTGGCTGGAATCGATTTCGTAGGTGTGTTGATCGAATCCAGTTGTCTTGTCGATTATTGGCCTGGCACTCCGAGGATGGTCACTGACTGCATTTGTCCGTTGCCAACGTTGCCATTAACACCAAATGGTGTTTCTGTGGTGGTTAAATTGTCTTGCAACATCACGTTGACTCGATCCTGCTCCAAGCATACCAATGGCTCGCAGACGCTCATTTTCGGACAGGCGTGGCATTTTGTAATGTTGAATAATTGCGCAATGTTGTTGTTTTTCTGAGTGGTTGTTGTCAGCACGATGCTAAACAATGCATATGGAATCCCGTTACAGGAACTTTTGTTGTTGAGTATATGTTTGACATGTTTCCCATACAATGATCATCATGATCAACAGGACAATAATCATCAACAACATCGTCATCTCCAAGTTTATTTTTTTCTTCTGACGAACACTGTTGACAATCTGTGCAGTGAATCTCGGCATATATTTTTGCCTGCGACAATAAATGCCCGTCGTCAATATATACCGTCACACGCCTCTTTTTCTTAGCTCGACCGTGGCGCCTCCCCGCGTAGAACGCGAGTTGTGTCCCTTGTGTTCAAAACGTCATATCCAATCAGATCGCTGTCCTTATTTAGATTGGTTAACAAAGACAACTACAACAGCAGGCAACATGGGAGAATAGATAACGAAAGGGTTTGAGATTTCGTCCCTGACAGACAAACAAAATGACTAATTGCTAAAGTAAAGAGTGCCTAATTAAAAAAATTCGACGTTGACATGCACTGGACATTCGTGAGTGAGTTACTCGTATGTAATATGGCCCATTTTATATTGCTGCTTCCAAATATTTGATGCAATGTACTGCCTTTTATGATTGTAAGCCTAATCATGTGTTTCAATATGATCTGTTAATTATTTATTGATTTTGTGATCAGTTAAGATCTCTACGTGCCGATTTCCGAGTTGACCTTTGCGTTTCAACAGGGGAAACAACCCTTATCCATGGTGAGGGAGCTTCGTTATTATTAATGAACCTGCCTTTGTTATACATGAATAACACCAACTGTTTATAACAACTGGGTTTGATAATCGAAATTAGCACCTCAGATTGATGAACCTACGTTATTCATCGGAAACAATATGACCGACAGATAGGCCGCATGGATGTCAGCTTCATTTACTACACTATCAGGGGGGTGAATCTCTTCACTGAATTAATACTTGTGTTGGGTCTAGGGCACATTGATCCATTGACCGGGGTGATAATGCAGCGCTTTGAACATGCTTTAGCGTGTGGATAGTATGCCTTATATCGATAACAATCGAATGATATTGATATTGATAATGAGGGGCGGTCGGGCTGTGTACTTCCCTTCCACATCAAGCTGACACACAGTTATATATACTGTTCAAAGCTGTGCTAATCCCAGCTTGTTCACCAACTCACTGAGTCATATCATCAGGGGAATCCTGGATCTTGTTACAAATTGTAGGGGCGGTCGGGTAGCCTAGTGGTTAAAGCGTTCCCTCGTCACGCCGAAGACCCGGGTTCGAATCCCGACATGGGTACAATGTGTGAAGCCCATTTCTGGTGTCCCCCGCCGTGATATTGCTGGAATATTGCTAAAAGCGGCGTAAAATCATACTCACTCACTCACTGAGAGAGAGAGAGAAGAGAGAGAGAGGGAGAGAGGGTTGTGTTTATGTTTTTGATAACTATACTTCCTTTTTTAAACTAAACTGAGGGCCAAATGTAACTTCACCCTACTTTTAAATCACTTTTAAAACCACATAACATACATGCATGCAGTGAAATGTGTTGAAAAGAGCAAACTCTGAACGAAGTCAACATTAAGAGGGGGCACGGGTGGCCCAGTCGTCTAAGGCGCCGCGATTCGCTGTGCAGAGTTGCGTCCCTTGGGCAAGCCAAAAAACATATGATTGTGGGTTCGAATCCAGGTTCGCCCCGATTATGTTTCTAGGTTTGTCAGCACCATACCCGTGCTCGTGGGTTTCACCGAGGAGTAAACGTCTAAGATCTGCATCACTTCAGGCTTTCCTCCCACATTAAGCTGACACGCCGTGATGTAACTGGAATACTGTTAAAAGCGGCATTAAACCCAACTCACTCACTCACTCACTCAACATTAAGAATGACGGCTATTGGTATGACAATTGCCCGAATGGAGGTGGGTAGGTTGGTTTGTTGTTTAACGCCGCACTCAGCAATATTACAGCTATATGACGGCGGTCTGTAAATAATCGAATCTGGACCAGACAATCCAGTGAATATCATCATGAGCATGGATCCATGCAGTTAGGATCAATGACATGCATCAACCAAGTCAGCGAGCCTGACCACCCGATCCCGTTAGTCGCCTTTTACGGCAAGCATGGGATGCTGAAGACCTACTCTACCCCGGAACTTCACTGGTCGAATTGAGGTGGGATAGCAAAACAGTTTTCAACGTAATTGGCATACAGAGCATACATCTAAAAGCGCTCGAGTTCAATGACACGACACATCAATAGCGTGTATGACCTTCCCCTTTTACAATACACGCAAACACTCTCCAGCGCACAGAAAAAGTCAGTCGTCTGATGACGTCACGTGCAATACGTCTCCATTCTTCTTGGAGGGCCTGGATTAGTTCTTGTCGGTTGGTTGGAAGATGTGGTCGCTGTCGAACACGATGATCAAGGACATATCTGAGGTGATGTGTCTTGGGAGCGTGTAGGGCACGGCAAGACGTTGACGTTGCTGGCTGCAAGGACGTTCAGTACAAGTCGTGCTGTATGGGGTCTGGCGTTGTCGTGTTGATAAAGGACACCACGTGGCAGTTGTTGTAGAAATGGTGGGACAGTCGGGCGAAAAATGTCATCCATGTAACGCTGAGATGTCACATGACCAGGGGTGTTCCTCCTCACACCATAACACCCCCTCCAACATACGGCACGACCTCCTGAACGCAACATGCCGCCATTCGTTCTCTCCTTCGGCGGTAAACACGCGTCTTCCATCAGCTCTGAACAGACAGAACCGGCTTTCATCAGTGAAGACGACCCTCTGCCAGTCACGTCCTGCCAACGACGTTCAGCCCGGGTCTATCTCAACCTCTGACGACGACGTTGCGCTGTCAATAACTGTCCTCTGTAAGGTCTGTAAGCCTCAATTCCTTGAGCCGTGAGTCGCCTGGCCAATATCAGTCAACTAACCATATGCCCTGATGATGTCAATTCCGGGGATGCAATGTACGCATGTACCGGTCTTCATTGGGCGTAGTTACCATGGGTCTGTCTTTTCTTGGCCTGTCTGATGTCTCCCCGGTCTGTCTGTAACGCTGCAGTAGGCTTGTTACAGTAGCACGGGAGCAACCAAACGTTTTAGCAATGTGGTCAAGGATAGTCCCGATCTGTATCAGGCCCCGGCCCCGCACGTGTTATTCGGGTGTCATTCGTGGCATTTTTGTGCTGTGTCTTTTCATTAGTATCGCATTTAAAAAACAAACAAACGTGCCGTTGGCGCGTATGACTTTCTGCACAGAGCATTGTTGTGTTCGGATGATGGGTTTTGCGTTGATTTCGTTTGAACTTGTGAACTTCATTTTTGAAGTGGTAAAGTGTCATTTGGCCATAAGCTTAATTTACTTAAAAGTGTCTCTGCCCGTCGGCTGCAGTGTGACGCTTATTGGGTGTTTGGTCGATCAATGATCAGAGTGTTTGTACACTAAATCTGATAAATCCAAGATACAGATTTGGCTGGTTTCTTGGGCTGTTTATATTTATGACATGAGTGACATGTGATTAGACGGCTGCTGGTTATTAAAACTGTTATCAGCCAAACGCTCTTGGCCTCCGTTAGCCGTGGTTTCGTATCCCAGTTTGTGTATTGCCTCAATGCTATGCAATAGAAAATACATGTTACATTCATTGTTCCAAATTGATAAATGCGACCAAAGCGAGTCGTTTGTACGATTTCGAATATATCATGGGCATGTCTTTATGAATCACTTTCAAACAGTGATAATACTAGGTGTTCGGGAAATGGTGAACGCATGCTGCCCCAACGATGGCACCCGTCACAAACATATGCAGAGGCAAGTCAATTGTTCAGCTGAAAAAAATAACACGGAACATATGGCGCCAGGACAGAGTGGTGACTGGCCCAGGACAGAGTGAGGACTGGCCCGGGACAGAGTGGTGAATGGCCCAGGACAGAGTGAGGACTGGCCCAGGACAGAGTGAGGACTGGCCCAGGACAGAGTGAGGACTGGCCCGGGACTGAGTGGTGACTGGCCAAGGACAGAGTGAGGACTGTCCCAGGACAGAGTGGTGACTGGCCCGGGACAGAGTGGTGACTGGCCCAGGACAGAGTGAGGACTGGCCCAGGACAGAGTGGTGACTGGCCCGGGACAGAGTGGTGACTGGCCCAGGACAGAGTGGTGACTGGCCCAGGTCAGAGTGAGGACTGCTACAGGACAGAATGTGGACTGGCCCAGGACAAAGTGGTGACTGGCCCAGGACAGAGTGAGGACTGACCCAGGGCAGAGTGGTGACTGGCCCAGGACAGAGCGAGGGCTGGCCCAGGACAAAGTGATGACTGAACCAGGACAGAGTGAGGACTGGCCTGGGACAGAGTGGTGACTGACCCGGGGTAGAGTGGTGACTGACCCAGGACAGAGCGAGGACTGGCCCAGGACAGAGTGGCGAATGGCCCAGGACAGAGTGGTGACTGGCCCAGGACAGAGTGGTGACTGGCCCAGGACAGAGTGGCGAATGGCCCAGGACAGAGTGAGGACTGGCCAAGGACAGAGTGGTGACTGGCCCAGGACAGAGCGAGGACTGGCCCAGGGCAGAAAGAGGACTGACCAAGGGCAGAGTAAGGACTGACCCAGGACAGAGTGGTGACTGGCCCAGGACAGAGGGGTGACTGGCCCAGGACAGAGTGAGGACTGCTACAGGACGGAATGTGGACTGGCCAAGGACAGAGTGAGGACTGGCCCAGGACAGAGTGGTGAATGGCCCAGGACAGAGTGGTGAATGGCCCAGGACAGAGTGAGGACTGGCCCGGGACAGAGTGGTGACTGACCTAGGACAGAGCGAGGACTGGCCCAGGACAGAGTGGCGAATGGCCCAGGACAGAGTGAGGACTGGCCCAGGACAGAGTGGTGACTGGCCCAGGACAGAGCGAGGACTGGCCCAGGACAGAGTGGTGACTGGCCCAGGACAGAGTGAGGACTGCTACAGGACAGAATGTGGACTGGCCAAGGACAGAGTGAGGACTGCTACAGGACAGAGTGGTGAATGGCCCAGGACAGAGCGAGGACTGGCCCAGGACAGAGTGAGGACTGGCCCAGGACAGAGTGAGGACTGGCCCGGGACTGAGTGGTGACTGGCCAAGGAAAGATTGAGGACTGTTCCAGGACACAGTGGTGACTGGCTCGGGACAGAGTGGTGACTGGCCCAGGACAGAGTGAGGACTGGCCCAGGACAGAGTGATGACTTGCCCGGGACAGAGTGGTGACTGGCCCAGGACAGAGTGGTGACTGGCCCAGGACAGAGTGAGGACTGCTACAGGACAGAATGTGGACTGGCCCAGGACAAAGTGGTGACTGGCCCAGGACAGAGTGAGGACTGACCCAGGGCAGAGTGGTGACTGGCCCAGGACAGAGCGAGGGCTGGCCCAGGACAAAGTGATGACTGAACCAGGACAGAGTGAGGACTGGCCTGGGACAGAGTGGTGACTGACCCGGGGTAGAGTGGTGACTGACCCAGGACAGAGCGAGGACTGGCCCAGGACAGAGTGGCGAATGGCCCAGGACAGAGTGGTGACTGGCCCAGGACAGAGTGGTGACTGGCCCAGGACAGAGTGGCGAATGGCCCAGGACAGAGTGAGGACTGGCCAAGGACAGAGTGGTGACTGGCCCAGGACAGAGCGAGGACTGGCCCAGGGCAGAAAGAGGACTGACCCAGGGCAGAGTAAGGACTGACCCAGGACAGAGTGGTGACTGGCCCAGGACAGAGGGGTGACTGGCCCAGGACAGAGTGAGGACTGCTACAGGACGGAATGTGGACTGGCCAAGGACAGAGTGAGGACTGGCCCAGGACAGAGTGGTGAATGGCCCAGGACAGAGTGGTGAATGGCCCAGGACAGAGTGAGGACTGGCCCGGGACAGAGTGGTGACTGACCTAGGACAGAGCGAGGACTGGCCCAGGACAGAGTGGCGAATGGCCCAGGACAGAGTGAGGACTGGCCCACGACAGAGTGGTGACTGGCCCAGGACAGAGCGAGGACTGGCCCAGGACAGAGGGGTGACTGGCCCAGGACAGAGTGAGGACTGCTACAGGACAGAATGTGGACTGGCCAAGGACAGAGTGAGGACTGCTACAGGACACAGTGGTGACTGGCCCAGGACAGAGCGAGGACTGGCCCAGGACAGAGTGGTGACTGGCCCAGGACAGAGCGAGGACTGGCCCAGGACAGAGTGGTGACTGGCCAAGGACAGAGTGAGGACTGGCCCGGGACAGAGTGGTGACTGTCCCAGGACAGAGCGAGGGCTGGCCCAGGACAGAGTGAGGACTGACCCAGGGCAGAAAGAGGACTGACCCAGGGCAGAGTGAGGACTGACCCAGGGCAGATCGAGGACTGGCCCAGGACCAAATTTTAAATAAAAATGTATTCTGTGTATTCATTGATTTTAGCATTTTGTCGCATTGTCAAGCTTTGGTTAATTTTGACACTTTTGTAAGGGCGACAATGCGACAATGCGACCAAGCGACAATGTCCCCTCTGGGATTCACTAGTGAGATAAATTGATAAGACAAAAATGTCACTGGGAAATGTGTTCACAACATGTACTTAAATATCAAATCTTGTTTATTACATACTGATGTCATAAAAACGCCAGTTCCTGGTATTAAGGGCGTAAGGCAGGGAGAAAATGATTATAGGTCTCCCTTCTTATTTTCACTATATATTTAAATTATCTTAATTGTATTTATCTAAACATTATATATCGCGTCTTAATTTTGAAAATACCTTTTTAAATCCCCCTTTTGGTTTGTTTTTAAAAATGTTGATTTCGCTCTATGCAGGTGATACAATATTAATCTACCATGACTACGCGAAATACTCGAATGTGATTGAACATTAAATCAGATATAAACAGATTTGGATTGAAAGAAAATGCGTCTGATTTTACGACCGCTTCACTGCGCACTCATACATGAGAGTCTGCCATCTTCCAGATTCCCCGCAAAACTGTCACTGCTGGTAATCCATGTTGTACACTTTAAAACCGCTTGGCCACATATCCTTCGTCCCAAATGATGAAAACAGTTTCCAAAGAATCCCAAGTTAGTCGCAATCACACAAATTATTGCGTTAGGTCCACCACTATCACTCTTCAAATGCTGGGGGAAAGGCACGTGAAATCATCAAACTAACTTATCATAAAAATCAACACTAATTGACCGCCTCCGTGGTCTAGTGGTAGAGCATCCGCCCGGAGAGCGGAAGGTCCGGGGTTCGATCCCTGGCCGCGTCATACCAAAAGGCGGTAATAGATGGTACTTGTTGTTACCCCGCCTGGCGCTTGGCGTTAAATGGCTAAAACAAGGACTAGTCGGCTCGGAGTCAGTATACTGTGTCTGAGAGGGGTATAAATATTAAACTGCGCGCGGCATAGTATCTCTACCATAGTGGGTTAGCACTATAAATCAGCATTAGTCAGGACCAGTACAAACACACACACACACACACACAACACTAACTCGTCGTCCTATCAGAAAGGGTTCAGACTCGACTGTCACTCAAGTATCCTCCACTGTCACTTCAAATTTCAATCTTGCACAAAACATAAAAAAATCGTCTCTTTCAAACTGTTGCGTAACTGTCACCAACCACTTCCAAGAAAATAAGTAGGTCAGGCCATTCCATGTAGTGTTGGTAGGGGGTACAGTACTACGGCACACCAAACAGAAAGCTGATTTCTGTCGTGTTTGGAGGGTTGGTTTAACCAAGCTGTGTCTTATTACAACGTTAACAATTGTTGCATTGAACAAATAGTTGTTTGTTTTCTTTGACGAATATGTTTTTCACGTTGCGATGGAACAATGGGTTCCAATGCCAGCTCTAGCACAATCCAATGTTCAGTGAGTAAGTGAGTTGGGTATAACGCCGCTTTTAACAGTATTCCAGCTATATCACGGCGCGTCAGCTTAATATTGGAGGAAAGTCCCAAGTTATGCAGGTCTCACACATTTATCACTTCGGTGAAACCCGCGAGCACGGTGCTGACAAACCTAGAAACATAATCGGCGCGAACCGGGATTCGAACCCACAAACATAGGTTTCTGGCGTGCCCAAGGGACGCAACCCTGCACAGCGAATCGCGGCGCCTTAGACGACTGGGCCAGCCGTGCCCCCTCCAATGTTCAGACACATGGGTTGACTGTTATCACCGAAGGTATATTTGCATCACGTGTTTCAAATATCATTGATCCCATTTCACAAATATTTAGGATTATTACAATTCACGAGTTGAGTGTGAACAATTTCTAGATTGCAGAGTGACACCTACAGAGTACAAAATGAAAGTTCATAAAATGACCACATCATAGTGAAATGACAAATGCACATGTTAATCATCCACTACATTACCTATAGACGGAGTGGTCAGAATCTGGAATATGGGTATTAGAACACTCGTCAGCAACATCAGCCCTTTCTTCAACATCACGACATCCTCATCTTCGCCACTCCAGGCAAACTACAACATCTTACCGCAGCGGACAACTACTTCTCCGATGGCACATTCTTCATGGCCCCCGAAATATCTGTAGTATCAACCCAAGTCATGCTAAGATTATTATTTTTTTATAATAAAAGGATAATGGTTTTAATTATGTGTGAAATAATCAAAGTTTGATGCATTTCTTTTAGAATTTCAACAAAGATTGTTGTGCTCAAGCTCTTTTTTCAAAATTAAATGAGCATTAAAATTTAGATTTTCACTCCTCTATGAAGTCAACTTTCGCAATCGAACCATATTTGCTTCATGTACACCAAAGAGATCTAAGAATATAACATTATTAAAAACTGGAGAATTACAAATTATGAACAGTATGTTTGTTGTTTAACTCAAGCACTGAACAATATTTCAGCTATATGACGCCGGCCTGTAAATAATCGAGTCTGGACCAGACAATTCAGTGATCGATATCGTGATCAACTATCCAAGCCATCGGGGTACAAGGAGAGGTTATCAACCAATTCACCACGCCTGGCCACCCGATCCGTTTGACTCCTTTACGACCGCGCAGCATGTGTTGCTGGAGACCTGCTGTACCCCGGTGTCCCATTAGGGCTTGTGCATGCATTTAACTGAGAGTCTGTGCATATGAAAACGTAATGAGTTCACATTCTGATTTCCCAGATAGTAATACTAGTATATGGCTGCCAAGTCTTTGATAATAATTTTTTTTAAATATCGTCATTCATTGGGGCGGTTGGGTAGCCTAGTGGTTAAAGTGTTCGTTCGTCGCGCTGAAGACCCGGGTTCTATCCCCCACATGGGTACAATGTGTGAAGCCCATTTCTGGTGTCCCCCGTTGTGATATTGCTGGAATATTGTTAAAGCGGCGTACAACAATACTCCCTCACTCACTCGTCATTCAAAGACAAGATTTCATGTTCATCCCATGATTTATGCACTGTTAGTGAGTGATACACAAAAAAACTCAGATCAGGAGGATTTTTAGTCTGTCTCCCAGACCCCAGGGGAAAAAATTAAAAAGGAGTCCAACTCTAGTCTAGAATGTTTTGGCAAGTCTAGATTACCACAGCCATGAAAATTCCCCGTATATTATTTTAAAATGGTCCAAATGTTGCGAAATTCATCCGATTGTTAAATAGTCTAGATAAATTAACAACACAAAACAGGTACATGTGTATATATGAAGCACTGCTATAAAGAAACATATTTGTGAGAAACTAGTTAATATGCAACAAGGGGGCACGGGAGGCCCAGTCGTCTAAGGCGCCGCGATTCGCTGTGCAGAGTTGCATCCCTTGGGCACGCCAAAAAACATATGATTGTAGGTTCGAATCCCGGTTCGCCCCGATTATGTTTCTAGGTTTGTCAGCACCATACCCGTGCTCGTGGGTTTCACCGAAGTGGTAAACGTCTTAGACCTGCATCATTTCGGGCTTTACTCCCACATTAAGCTGACACGTCGCGATATAACTGGAATATTGTTAAAAGCGGCGTTAAACCCCACTCACTCACTCACTCACTAATATGTAACACCTGCACTATGATATGTACTATCGGTCCGTGGCCTCTAAAGTGCTTGAATAAAGACTGATAGTCGATAGCTGTTGATAACTTATTCATGCCTGTCGTTCAAACGATAGAAATCGGCCTTGATAACTGTAAGATCACGTCAGTGCATTGTCACAAACTTCAAGATGACATCATTCATTGGTTATATCACAGACGTTCTTATGTGACGTTCCAACTTTGGTCTGAATGATCATGACTTCTGTGTTTGCCAAGCCTACAATTTCATACAAAAACTGGGGCGATGTGGTAGCCTCGTGGTTAAAGCGTTCGTCCGTCAAGCAACAGGTCCGTTTTCGATTGCCGACCACTCTCACTCACTCACTCACTCACTCACTCACTCAACAGGTCCGTTTTCGATTGCCGAACACTCACTCACTCACTCACTCACACGTGTTAATTTGCAAAAGGTAACGATAAAAGTGAGTGAAATATCAAAATATGGAAAAACAGACTCCATGTCCTTATGGGCCACCGTAGATGACAGCTGACCTCACAAATATCAACTGTTAATGTTTGCTGCAAATAAAGATGAGATGGTGCGATCTGCCGATCAGTTTACAAGCCATTTGACCGAAATTAATAATGTAAACAATATCGACTGAAAATTTAAATAATATCGATAAAATATATTATGAAACATAAGCCCTCATATACAATGGACACTTTTTGTTACCATAGTATGTAATCACAGGACTAACTTGTGTACTTCAGTGTGGCTTTGTTGACATGGTAGACCGCCTCCGTGGTGTAGTGGTAGAACGTCCGCCCGGAGAGCAGAAGGTCCGAGGTTCGATCTCTGCCGCGTCATACCAAAAGACGTTAAAAGATACCCTGTCTGGCGCTCGGCATTAAGGGGCTAAAACATGGACTGGTCGACTCGGAGTCAGTATACTGTGTCTGAGTGGGGTATTCATGTTAAACCTCGGCATAGTTTCTCAGTGGGCTAGCACTATAAATCGGCATCAGTCCGGACTAGTACAAGCAGCCACACAAACACGTTCATGCACGTCGATATATAAGTGCAATAATCTAGTACGCGACGTTAAACCCAAATTCACCTCACCTTGCTGACATGATATTTCCGGTGTAAAGTGTTCAAGTCTTTGCGTTTGGGAAAACATCAAAAAACACTTTTTTGCAGCTTAATTTGTTGTTTTTGTTAACAGTGCGCACCATACCCACGAAATGACAATAACATTAATTCCGAAGCTGAGGACCTATTCTACTCCGGAGTTCCCCCAGTTCAACCCCATGGAAGAATAGTTTCATGTGTACCAACCCAAAGACCACTCAGGCGTCACACCAATTTTCTTGAATCAAAAGTTCGAAACAAAAGATTTTGTGTTGGATTTACAGTAAACATAACAATATGCTCCCTCCCAATACCGTCGGTGAGTTTTATGCGCTACAGTGAATATTCCAACAATCGACAATACAATACCCCAAGACGACACTCGTCAGTCGTTGTTACACTTAAAAGACGCTTACATTGTATATTTAATTTATCGCTGCACTTTTTCATTCGAGGTGAAAGCGCACAGACGAGTCAATGTAGTATGCGACTATGACTACACAAAGGCTGTATGCGCGAGGAATATCGGTAATGGAGATTTTCAAAGGACCTTTGTCAACTGGTTGATTTATTCGTATTATGCCCTTTCAATACGCACGAGGTATTGTGTATTGTGCCTTCATCGATTTGGAAAAGGCATTTGATTCGAAAGATCACTGTATGTTGTGGAGTAAATTGTCAAAGTTGGGAATAAGAGGAACATTAGCTGTAATTAAAGTAATGTATTGACATATACCACCATGAGTTTGTATAGATGGTTTAACTCGGATTCTTTCACAGATAACCTGGGTTTAATGCAAGGCGAGGGTTTGTAACCAATTGTGTTTTCATTTTACACAAATAATTTTGAAATGGCTTTCAATCAATCACTCACTCAATCAATCAATCAATCAATTTCTTCCAGAATTTACAATATCTCTGATATTTGTCAGAGCAAATACAGGGTGCTAGTATTTACATCAATAGGTGCATCATTATTTGTTTGTTTGTTTGTTTAACGCCGCACTCAGCAATATTCCAGCTATATGACGGCGGTCTGTAAATAATCGAGTCTGGGCCAGACAATCAAGTGATTGACATCATGAGCATCGATCCACGCATCAACCAAGTCAGCGAGCCTGACCACCCGATCCCATTAGTCGCCCATTACGACAAGCATAGTCGCCTTTTACGGCAAGCATGGGTTGCTGAAGACCTATTCTACCCGGATCTTTACGGATAAGGTGCATTATTAACATATAACATATAAATATATGTTCACAATCAGTCATGTACACACGTTAGAAGTATTGCGCTATAACAGATATAAAGAGGGGATAATCTTATACATGTTACAAATTTAAGATATATTCACAGAATGATAGTGATATGCTTTCCCCAGTACGCTGGTTCATAATTCCAGATTGTATATGAAATGAACCCCAGGAAAGTGCAAGTTTATCATTCTCTTCCAGAAGGTGTTAACATAACTTTCAACATCCAGTTTGTCAATGAGGGTGGAGAAGAATTCCTTTTGATCATTGATAAAATACTCATAGTGTAAAAGTACATGTCTGTCATAATCACAGGCATGACTGCCACATTTAGAACATACTCTAGATGTGATTATACTCTGAAAGCTCTCAACCAGAGTACTGGATGCATAACAATACGATGTCAAGTTAGTGCTAATTTCCATAATACATGTAACATCAGTGTGTCATTGTGATTGTCATTGTCGATAACCTCTCAGATGTATTAGATTGTTTAAGTGAGTTGGGTTTAACGCCGCTTTTAACAGTATCCAGTTATATCGCGGCGTGTAAGCTTAATGTGGGAGGAAAGCCCGAAGTGATGCAGGTCTCAGACGTTTCGGTGAAACCCACGAGCACGGGTATAGTGCTGACAAACCTAGAAACATAGTCGGGGCGAACCGGGATTCGAACCCACAATCATAGGTTTCTGGCGTGCCCAAGGGGCGCAACTCTGCACAGCGAATCGCGGCGCCTTAGGCGACTGGGCCACCCGTGCCCCCGAATATGATAACAAATACACCTGGGTATTTGAGATTACAGATATAGACTCGGAGACTTTTTGAGTAAGCAGGAGATACATTCAAATTGCCTACATGTAATAAAGCAGAACATTTTTTACCAAGCCACGCAGGCAATAAGAAGGAGGATTCATATTTCTTGTAAATGTGTTGTTTGGATTTCTTGTTGATACCAACACCGTAAAATATTTTTTGCAGACAACATATATCCAAGTTTAGTGCTCTCATCTCACGTGTTCTCACGTGTTGAAACATGAAGATACCAAGATTTATATTTGTCCAAAAGAATATGTCACGTATGTCCTCTAGAAAAAGAGAACGAATTTCATTTTATTCTCAAATGTCCATTGTATATAACCTAAGGAAACATAAAGCCATACTGTTGGAAAAGAACAGTTATATACCAATACAAAGGTACAGCTGAGTCTTGTCTTGGCAAATTTATTTATTTATGCTGAATCAACTACAACAGAAATATTTGGGCCGAGACTATAAAACCGCGCCCCACAGTGTTGCAAAACGAATATATTTCTCAACGTACTTATATGTATAAACAGCAAAATCTCTCTTGTACACAACACACATAATTCAAAATTAACACACCGTTTTTATTAGTTTCAACAAAACCAGTAATGGCAGTCTCTTGTCACTGGATTTTCTGGTTCAACGATCACTTGATTGTCTTGTTTGTTGACAGGCTGACGTACTGCTGTGCTGCGTCAAGCAATAAATACTTACATGTTCATGCATATTGTATAAAAGGCGGGTTCTACCGGTAGGGCAGGACATGCTTACCCTTTTCGCGAACACCTGGTGTCATCACTGATTTTCAGTGGTTCGTTCATATAATTTCCACAGCTATTTGCTCTTTACGCCAAGTGGAATCTTTTTCTAATAATCTAGGCTGGTTATTCTCTTGCACTGACAATTGATAATAAGAGAGCATGCCAATTAAGAAATAATGAATTATAGTCTTGTGTACTCCCCATATGTACGTCAACCTCAATCACCAGTATCAACAGTTTAAACATGTATTGCTTTGAACTGATAAGCTGTAAGCTTAAAGTAAATAAAGAATTGACATTAAGGTCTGGTTAGGGACGTTTCCTCGGCTGCATTATCTCGTAGTCGGGTGGGATTACTGGAAACGAGGTCCTCGTGAGGATCATAGTCCAGGGGTGGGGATGGGAGGGGGTTGATCATACCGGTGAAATCTTATCAGTTTGACAACAACTGAGCCTCATAACTATATGTGCCTTCATGTTTAGACAAACGGTAGAATTTAGCGGTTGCATATGTCACTTGAAGAAGTGGGTAAGTGGCTTGTATATTTTGGCATGTGTTCTTGAAATAATAGTTCAATTCATGGTCAGAAAGTGTTTAATTGAATTGTGACAATCAGGTGTGAAATGAATATGCGTAGTGCGGTTGAATCTAAGAATAGTTGTGATGACATTGATTTATTTACAGCGTGATTAATTTTGTGTACGCGGTTGTCAGGAAGTAAAACACAATCGTCTTTCCCTCTAACACTGCTCAACGACTTTGCAGGCCGGTTCAGGGTGAGGACACCCAGGACAGCGCACGGACTGACCCAGGACAGAGTGAGGACTGACCCAGGACAGAGGGAGAGGGCTGACCCAGGACAGAGCGAAGACTAACTCGGGACACACAGAGAGGATTGACCCAAGATAGAGCGAGGACTGACCTAGGACAGATCGAGGACGACCCAGGACAAAGCGAGGACTGAATCGGGATAAAGAGCGGACTTACCCAGGACAGAGTGAGGACTGCCCCAGTATAAAGAGCGGACTGACCCAGAACAGAGTGAGGACTGACCTAGGATAGAGAGTGGACTGACCAAGGACAGAGCGAGGACGACACAGGACAGAGTGAGTACTGATCAAGAGATACTGACCGAGGACAGAGTGAGGACTGACCTAGGATAGAGAGTGGACTGACCAAGGACAGAGCGAGGACGACACAGGACAGGGTGAGGACTGATCAAGAGATACTGACCGAGGACAGAGTGAGGACTGATCAAGAGATAGTGACCGAGGACAGTCTTTACTGATCGCTCACTCTTGTCATTCATTGAAACGTCTCTTACTGTTAGTCGTACCGTTTGGGCAGAGTGCCATGTTCAACCCTTTCAAGACCCTTCCACCCGGTAACCCTGTACACCCTGTGTATGGGGCGTGGTATGTTGCGGCTGGGTAACACCGCTAGGTTCAGTGTGGATGTGTCCATGACTGACAGCGTGCGTTCCTCGTTTTGGAGAGTATATTCCTTGATGATAGAATAGTGTCGCCATTCGTCACCAGGTAGGTCGTGTCACTGGTACTGTTCAGGTATGTGAGATATTCGGGTGTTAGATTACCCTGAAATTACTGCCCCGTATTGAAGTGCGACTTCCTTCTTCTTTTGGTGGGTGCCTTGTCGATACCACATGCACTTAGCGTGTGTGTGTGTGTTTGTGTGTGTGTGTGTTTGTGTATCTGTGTGTGTGTGTGTGTGTGCGCGCGTGTGCGTGCGTGCGTGCGTGCGTGCGTGCGTGCGTGCGTGCGTGCGTGCGTGCGTGCGTGCGTGCGTGTGTGTGTGTGTGTGTGTGTGTGTGTGTGTGTGTGTGTGTGTGTGTGTGTGTGTGTGTGTGTGTGTGTGTGTGTGTGGACTAAATACTCTTTAACTGCAAAAAGCCAGGTTTTCTTTTTAATTAGTACTATTACCCTGTATGGTTAAAAACAATATTGCAACGATGTATTTTTGATTGCAGTCAATGTCTGGGTATGTGTTGACAGTCAGAAGCATGATGATTTTGTCCAAGTATTTTCTGGGACAGTGCGCCCGCTTAACATATCACATTGCAGCTCCCTTATAGATATTATACAAGAAAGATAAAACGTTAACCATGAACTGTAATACTTTCACTTAAATAATATGTGAAATTCATCATCAATTTCAGCACCGTCACAACTGGTACAAACACTATCAACAACATCAATATCTTTAGATTTACGAACATATTTACTTTAAAATTATGCAATGAACTTCGAAATGTACACAAGGTCTTATTATTGTCTGGTTATCTTTTGTGTGTTTGTACGATTTTTTATCGAGATGAATATGTTTCAGCTACAGCTTCAAAACCAGATATTTCCCTTTTTAAATATTAGCCTAACTTTTTATGTCCCCTCTCCGCACAAACAGCCCCACCCACATCCCATACCCACCCCCACCTCCTCGACTCCCGGAATGTATGTTCTTGAAAGTTATGATACTCTCTCTGTAAGTGGTATAATTTATTAGACGAATATGAGTCCTTTTCAGTCGAGACAGGGAGTGAAAAATGCAATTATTTTTAACTCCCTGTGTCGACTGAAAAGGACTCATATTCGACGAGATATTTGACGAGACGTGTCACTTGTATAATGCCGAGTGAGACACACTGTACATTCTAACAATGTGTTATTGCAAACTTAAGACCAACTTGGCGATGCGTCAAATATATTAATAAACATGATCAGCAATGTGAAACGGCCATACTAACATGATGTATACACGTTTATATATATATATGATTTAGTCAATAACCTATTCACGAAAACCTGGTATCATCCCTATTTGATAGTGATTCATGATCACACATGATCATGCCATAGTTGGACTCTTAGTATTCGACTCTGCTTTATGCAACGATTTCTATTGGATATAAAAAGGGTTTTGTCGCTTTATTTATGCTCATGACTAGGAGCTAAGGTTGGAAGAAGCTAAGTCACGTAAGCGTTCCGTGTTGCACAATCAAAACGTATTAGAAGTAGGAGGTGAGGTGGGGTGAAATGGGGTTTAACGTCGCGTCCAAGATTATTGCACTTATATAGCGACGTGCATGCATGTGTGTGTGTGTGTGTGTGTGGGGGGGGGGGGGGGGGGGGGGGGGGGGGTGCTGCTTGCACTAGTCCAGACTGATGCCGATTTACGCTCTACCACTAGACCACGGAGGCGGTAATTAGAAGTAGGATATTATGTCAACTAATCAATGAAATTTGACATTATTAGTCTTAAATGTTATTTTATGTGTATATTGCTTATTGAAGGTCCCCCATTGGTCCTCATACTACAATTAACGTTTGTCAGGGGATGTACGGTATGTTAGAGCTGAATGAGCTTGTACACAATGACACTATCACGGTACGTGCACGAACGTTCAGCTCATTAACACATGTTTGCTTGTTTGTTTGCTGTTTTACGCCGCACTAAGCAGTATTCCAGCTATATGACGGCGGCCTGTAAATAATCGAGTCTGGACAAGACGATCCAGTGACTGATATCATGAGCATCGATCCATGCAATTGGGATCGATGACATGCGTCAATCAAGTTAGCGAGCCTGACCACCCGATCCCGTTAGTCGCCTCTTACGACAAGCATAGACGCCTTTAACGGCAAGCATGGGTTGCTGCAGACCTACTCTGCCTCGGAGCTTCACGGTTCGACGGGGATAGTACGAGCTGAAGGAGCTTGAACACCATGGCACCGTCGGGGGTGGGGGTGGGTGGGGGGAGCGTACACGAACGTTCAGATAATGAACTACCGCTACTGACACATGTATCGGGTCCACAAGCTAATTCCGGCGAAACATTTTTGTGTTCGAATTTTAGCTATGTCGAAACAATATGTTAACCCGCAGTGCGAACAGGGTGTGGCAAGCAAGTGACGTCACGTAAAATATTATGACGCCATGATGACCTCAAACCGACTGGGTCCACTGGTGTATCAGAGTGACTAATGGGATGGGTATCATAATAATGATAATAATGACATATATGCATGAAACAGGCATAACAACCGCGTTTATTCTATCTTCCTCTTGTTTAGACTAGCTCACCACGATGACGTCAGAAAATCCTTCGTACACAGAGAACCACAGCGTTGGCAACGATGACCTCAACGGCACCTTACATAATGGATGTATGTGGACACCAAACTACGATGACGACAAAGATGACAGCACTGACGAGAAAGATCAAGCGCCTAAACCTTTCTTCTACTGCAAACTTGTGGCCAGATATCCCCTGCCGTCGTTCTGTAAGTTGTGTGCGTCGTTCATGACATTTTAATTGTACTGTCATAATGCTGACTGACAAGAAAGGCGTTTTTGCCTTTTGCGCCCAGTGTTTGTTTGTTTGTTTGTTGTTTAACACCGCGCTCAACATATTCCAGCTATATGACGACGGTTTGTACATAATCGAGTCTAAACAGAACAGTGATTGTCATCATTGGTCCACGCAATTGGGATACCATGACATGCATCAACCAAGTCAGAAAGTCTGACCACCCAATCCCGTTAGTCGCCTTTTACGGCAAGCATGGGTTGCTGAAGACCTATTCTACCCCGGATCTTCAAGCCCAGTGGGATTTGTTTCTGCGGATGGCCAGCACTGGTTGTTTTCCCGGCGTTGACAATTAAACTTTGCTAATGGTGACCCATTTTATAAACTGGGTGGGATTATATCATGACACATAGACCAATAGAATAACCGTTCGTGTCAACCATCTACTTGACTTCAGACTTCCCTAACAGAACTCGCAAATGGAAACGATGGGTCGATTAGTGACGTAACAATGTTTGTTAAATTCTAAAGATAATATTACTTAGTTATAAGGTACAATAATATACTGAACAACAAAAGTTACTGCGACATTGATTATGATTTAATGCATAGTTATGTTTTTTTACCAAATCTGAAACAATTTCGGTTTGCAACAGATAAAAGACTACTGTGAGTGTTCAAATGGTTTATTTTGCCATATTGACTTGCGTGATTTCATATAAAACATGAACATGCCAAAATGTCAATTTACAAATCAATAGCGTGTGTGTCCACCTCTGGTTGCGATGCAAGCAACACATCTTCGTCTCATGGAATGGACCAGGCGTCGCACAAAGTCCTGTGGGATATCTGTCCATATCTGATGGAGCATGTTTCGAAGTTCCTGGAGTGTCTGTGGAACACGTAGTTGACGTCGAAGGCGCCGATCCATCTCATCCCACGTGTGCTCGGTTGGTGAGAGATCAGGGGAGCGAGCCGGCCAGGGGATGACATTCACGTTGTTTCTCTGAAGAGAATCCTGAACAAGTCGAGCAATATGAGGCCGGGCGTTGACATGTTGAAAGGTAATGCCTGGATCATGACAACGCAAAAACGGTAGCCGACGTGACAGGGCCGATGATCTCGTCGCGGTAGCGCTGCGCGTCCATTGATATTTCCCTCTACCACTATCAAACGGGCCCTCTGTCTTGCCGTAATCCCACCCCATACCATAACGCTGCCGCCCCCTTCTTCCATGACACAATGATTGACGTAACGTTCACCTAGACGTCGGTACACTCGAATCCGTCCATCGCTGTGGCTGAGGTGAAAACGAGACTCGTCAGTGACCACGTCTGGTAGGTCTTCTGGCGACAATCCCTGCACATCTGAGGCGACGACGTACGGTTTGTGAAGATATTCGTCAAAGGTCAGGGATGCTTCTTGCAGTCACTGTTGATGGCTGGAATCGATTTCGTAGATGTGTTGTTCGAATCCAGTTGTCTTGTCGATTATTGGTTACGCCTGGCCAGTCACTCCGAGGATGGTCTCTGACTGCATTCGTCTGTTGCCAACATTGCCATAATCACCAAATGGTGTTTCTGTGGGCGTTAAATTGTCTTGCAACATCACGTTGACTCGATCCTGCTTCAAGCATACCAATGGCTCGCAGACGCTCATTTTCGGACAGGCGTGGCATTTCGTAATGTTGAATTATTGCGTAATCTTGTTGTTTTTTCTGAGTGGTTGTTGTCAGCACGATGCTAAACAATGCATATGGAATCCCGTTAACGCACATGTTTTTATACCCATTCTTGGGTAGTGAAATGCATGGGGCTTGCATAAAAGTCAACTTTTGCATGGAATGCATGCTTTTCTGTAGCAGTTGCGTTTTTGTGACTTGATTCCATACATGTACTACAATATTGAAAACCAAACTTTACTTGTTTGAAAAATTCACTAAAATATTTGTGTCACAGTAACATTTGTTGTTGAGGATATATAAGATTGTATCTAATATGTGAAAGAAACATTTTACAATTAAATTCAACAATTCTCCTTTTAAATCATTTTTCCTGACTTAAAAGTAAATGTAAGAAACAAATCATGCGCAATACAATGTATAATTCTGGTCCACTTCCATATGACCATTAAGCATACAGTAAGCTTTCGGATCCCCTTTTGGATTGGTTTGGGTGGCAGCCCAGATATACAAAGTCCCTGAACCATATGATTTTCGCTTTCGCTCAGCCCTTTCTATAATGCAAAGGCCCTATATCAAGCAAGTTAGATTTTCCTCAAGTTCATCTCTGAATCTCCAATCACATTGGGGCTCCTCTTCAATTTAAATGGAGTTATTTGTTTCTATTAAAATTACACATTTTTAGAGACTAAGCATCAGTCTAAATAGACACCACCCGTTTGGAATTTGACATTAATTTGTTTACAATACCAGAACATTGTCGATTACATTATAATATTAAGAAGATCACTGCTCAAGTGTCATGTGCAAATGAGAAAGTAGACGAAACTGTAAGTTATAAATAAACATAGTTTTCATAATTCCAAGCAATATCGAAAACATATATATGCAAAAATTATCTAACAATAAACACCAAGGTCCCCTTGTACAAAAAATCAATTTTGAAAGCCTTAAAATTATTTAGGTTCATATTAGTTTTAGTATTTGACTAATGTATAGTATAGTGACTTTCGACTTGCGAAAGTATTAATCTTTTTCCCATACTCAGCCGTTCCAGAGCCTTGCGCCTTTCTAATTATTTTGACTAAAATTCTTACCGTTATCATTGTATTAGTTAATGAGAAATGCTTGCCGATCAAGTATGCGCCTTGAATTTAAGCGACATTGTACGATTTCGACCTTATCATGATAATGTGTTTATGTATCAATGTCGAATAGGTGTGACATTAAAGGTAAGAAACAATCCGCAATTTGGACATGGCATTAAACAATCCGCATGCGCAGAACGATTGAATTCAGCACTTCCGCCAAGCGCTACGAGTAAAGCGTCAAACTCCGGCCTGTAATCTGACACGCGAGAACTGACCAATGAAATCTGAGAAGTAGAAATACCGGTAGAGGCTGTTGACAATGTCTATCAAGAAAAGGAGGAGCTTGATGATATCGTTCTCTCCCAGTAAATTCTGATGTCAAATAACGACGTTATTTGAACGGAAAAACGTCCAAAAAACGTCGTTTTACCGTCCAATGACCATATACGGAAAAAACGACGTTTTCGTGTTTGCAGTGTGATGTTGTTGTTGTTCTTCTTCTTATTATTATTGTTGTTGTTGTTGTTATTGTTATTTTTATTATTATTATTATTTTTATTTATTTTTTTTTTAAATTTATTTCAGTGTTGATGCTATCTGGACACCTACTTATAACAGTGACAACGGGGATTCTGGTAGCTGTTGGTTATGACCTCTTCCCTACGAACTTCGAAACACTCCCTCTCCAGCTTCGTGACCAGCCATGGCTGAAGCGTGACCTCGCCTTCCGGTACAGGAACTCCTACAGAAACTGGGTTCCAAGGTCACTCAGTTCGGTGTCCCCATTCCCTAAACACCGATACCGATTGGGGGAAAGCGTGGAAATGATATATGAAACCGGAGGAGGAAATATATTTGAAAAAAGTCATTTGATAAAGATAAAAGAAATAGAGGACGTTATGCAGCAAGTTCGGGATTTTGACAAATATTGTCAACTGGAAAAGATCGGGGGAGTAGACAGCTGTAGGAAGCCACTCTCGGCTTTACGTTTCTTCGATGGAACATATGCCGCTACCGATCCTGTTTTTAATGACCCAAACTTTGACAATATATCGGCTGTCCTTTATCAAGCATCCATCAACAACGCGACGAAGGGCGCGTTTGTGTACACGTTAGCTCTGAATCATGAGGTTACACCGACGCGGGTATCTGCTCGGTTGACGCGATCCTTGGTACTGCTGGGCTCGCCTTTAAAAGGGAAAGGCTTCACTGCAACCAGGGAAGCATTGAGTGAGTACCTTACTCACACCATGAAACCGGTTCTTGAAACATACAAGAGTACGTCACAATTTGAGTTCTTATACTACAGCTATATCATGATGATAGCCGACGTCAGAGAACAGGCAATTCTTGACATGATGCTTGCAATAGGAAGTATGCTCTTCATTGGGGCGTTCATGTGCTACCACACAAGGTCACTGTGGATTACCAGCCTCGCCATCTACAGTATCTTGTCCAGTTTCATGGGCACAAATCTAATCTACAGAATTGTACTTGACTATCGGTATTTCGGCTTCTTTCACATTCTGGCTATTTTCATTATACTGGGGATAGGAGCTGATGATTTGTTTGTGTTCTACGATGCTTGGAGGGCAACAGCCTTCAACACGTATCCATCTTTAGCTCACAGACTATCTGATGCCTACAGGAATTCCGCTCTCAGTATGATGATAACTTCTCTGACAACCATGTTTGCTTTTATAGCCAGCGCCGTGTCGCCTCTTCTGGCCACCAAGTCCTTCGGTGTGTTTTCCGGGATATTAGTACTGATAAACTACACATCCGTTATCACGTTCTTCCCTACTGTGGTCGTAGTTTATCACAGATACTTTGAGAAATACAGTTGTTGTTGCTGTACATTTGGTAAGAAGAAGAATAAAGTCGTAAGCAAGAAAGAGGAGGACAAATACAACAACTTTGCTAAACACCAACATGTATCCGTACCACGAATAGCGAAGAAAAAGAAGCCTTCTTTTCTGAACAGATTGGCGAAGAAAAAGAAGAAGTCTTTTTTGGTCAGGTATTTTCGGGATTACCATTTCAAGTTTGTGACTCACAAATTTGCAAAATGGATTATTCTAGTCATTTTTCTGGTTTTGGTTGGCTTTTTGGGCTACCAGACGTCTCGTCTACAGGCGGAAAATGAACAGGTAGCTATATATCATTCATTGAAACGTATTTTTCCATGTAATGTACAAACTAAATATAGTCCTTCAACACTTCTATTGTAATCTCAATTTATTTTGATTAATGTTGGACAATGTTTAAAAATATTCTAGCCTTGTTTTATCCAGAGCTTGGACACTCGCCCTATAAGGTACCGCCGTTTTCTGTGCAGCTGCAGCTATACAAACAGTCACACAACTATGCCAAAGCGATCAATAGAAATCTTTACTCCTTCGAGCCCAATGACGTGGACAGCTCTATCCGTGTGTTCTTGGTCTGGGGCTTTAGGGAAAGGGACTTGAGCGGGTGCCACTTCTCTGCTGTGGACTGCCAGGGCACTCAAGTGTTTGATGACAAGTTTGATGCCAGCATTCCAGACGCTCAGTTGGCCTTGAAGGTAATGATGTGTTCACTTACACCCCGTATCACCACCATTTGCTAGCGATTCATAAACTGATGCACATGCTATACATTATAGGTGAAAAGGTCATTCCATTCCATTTGTGGCTCCGATTGGGTTGAGGGGCCAATAACAGATTTGAAAAGATACTTACAAGACATTCCTCAACGTTGGTACCTCGTATACATGCTATAGGTTGTAGGTGAAAAGGTCAACCCATTCCATGTATGGCTCCGATGGGTTTGAGGGACCATTAACAGATTTGAAAAAATGCTGACAAGACATTTCTCAACGTTGGTACCTCATACACATGCTATACGTCATTCCATTCCATTTACGGCTCCGATGGGTTTGAGGGGCCAATAACAGATTTGAAAAGATGCTTACAAGACATTTCTCAAAGTTGGTCCCCAGACACCATATGCACTGTTATGTGTGAATGCTGCCAATTATATATAGATATATATATCGTTGTATAAAATACTGGCTTAAACTTACGAAAATGCCCAATAGTAATATTTCAAAGATAATTGTACATTGATAAATGTGGATACCAAACCTATCTACTGTAGGTGCTTTATTGTTTTCCCATGGATCTGTATTTGTATGGATCGCGCAGTGTGTTTGAGAACATTTGCACTTTATATGCATCATTGAATAGTATCAAAGAAACTAGCTCCAGCTATAACATATATACAGAGTTTCTCGCCCTTTTAACAGATAGAAAACAACGTAATATGTTGTGAGAATGGAGGTGTTAAGGTTGAAAGTTAACGAAGGCAGATGGTTGGAGATTGATATTGATTTCTGCCCTCTTCGTAATCTAGGGATAATTTCACCTTAATATGCAATTTCTGTAAGAACGAAGACACCTCTACCCGAATTGTATTGTTATAATCGGAATGTGTATATATTTAGAACGCTTTTGTCTTTGAACAATGTAATGTTACTAAGAACCTTATGTAAACATCAGTGTCAATGTTACTCAGTAAAGTGTCAATGTTACTCAGTAAAGCGTCAAATGAGTGTTGGAAACCCTGGAATAATATGATGTAAGTGATGAATATATTTATGTAAAAATGTAATATGTATACATGCTCTTTCCCTGTATATAATAGTACAATGGACTCGTCGATTTATGTAAGTAACCAAATTACCGAATAATGTTATTGTTATTGAAGACGTTTCCTCTCTGAAATAAAGTGCCGTTAACTATATTGTAGTTACGCCGCATCCACGAATATCCAGAGTATCGGATCTAAATCCTGTATTAACCCAAGTCCCATTAGTCATTCGAAATCGGTTCGAATGACACCACGCTAAAAACAGACGTCGAACCCTGTGCTATACTTTACCAAAACGAAATCTACAGGTTTTACTAAAAAATTAACGGTTATACAAATACGTTGTATTATATCTGGGCTCTGTGTGATGAAATCTTCAGGTTTTTCTTTGTATGTAACGGTTATAGAAATACATTGCATTGTGCCTAGGCTCTGTGTGGTGAAATCGTCAGGTTTCACTGCACATATACGGTAACACAAATACGTTGTATCATATCTAGGCTCTGTGTGAGGAAATCTTCAGGTTTTACTTTGTATGTAACGGTTATAGAAATACATTGTATTGTGCCTAGGCTGTGTGTGGTGAAATCTACTGGTTTCACTGCATGTATAACAGTTACACAAATACGTTTTATTGTGTCTAGACTCTGTGTGATGAAATCCACAACTTCACGGAGGAAGAAATATCTGCCCTTAAAATCAGACGAGACACGGTCACGGGAGAGATGGAGGTGTCTTGCTTCACCCGAAACATGGAGGCATTCCTACAGGTGAGTGAGTTGTTGGCGCATAACGCCTCTTGGCTTCAGTGGTAACGTACGTAGGTCGTACACGTTTACCACAATCACTGGTGACGACAAATCTAGGATTTATCAGTTTCACAAAATGGTCTCAGAAAATGCTTGAATAAATATAATTATGCTTTAGACTAATGAATAAACAAGCATTTGTCTGACACAAAAAATACAAGGTTGCAAGATGTTTTAAGAAAAACATATTTTGGCTCATAGTTGTGATTATACAAATATCTGGTGTTGCAGTAGACAAACATCTAGTCTCTGAAATAAACATATCGTTCAGAAAAAAAACATTTTTTCAATTATCTTAGTAAAAATAGAATAAAAGGGAGCCCAGAGACTCTCTTCATTTTGAGATAATGCAGTAATCTAGACTTGCCAAACATTATAGACTTGCATGGGCTGTATTTGATATATATTTGTATCAGGGTCTGTAAGACAGACTAATGTTGTGGCTGATGCTGAAGAAAACATCCAACCTCGACACAAAATCCCAGCCCATTACTGTCAAACTACACGCAATCTCTTATTCATTACGTCACACAGTGTGTACATACGCTCTTGCTCATTACGTCAAACTACATACACTCTTGTTCATTATGCACAACAACATGCACTCACTTGCACACTGATGTTTCAGGCTGACGTGGATGCTGGCAATTTGACCCTTGACCTTCCCTGGAATTGGACTCGAACATCGGACTTCATGTCAGCAAAACCAACACTTTACGGTGGCACCACCTTCAACAGCTCGTTTGATCGATATTTGGATGTAAGTACAACACAAGATCGAACAATTCAGAGCTAATTGATTGATACATTCATCGTATTCCATAACCGTCTCACCATGCCAGACGTGTTTGTTTTCCTTTCCTATTATATTCCTTTGTCTGAAGGGGTAGACTTAGACCCATTAATCTCTTACTTTATCGTAAGAGGTGACTAAAATGGATCCGCCAGGCCCTGTGACATTGTTGATGTGTGTGTCATCGTACAAAGGTCATTGGGATCTTTGCTCATGCTTTCAATGACGGGTTTGCCTTGAAGTAGAAGGAGTGTGGGTGAGTGAGTTGGGTTTAACGCCGCTTTTAACAGTATTCCAGTTATATCGCGGCGTGTCAGCTTAATGTGGGAGGAAAGCGACGCAGGTCTCAGACGTTTACCACTTCGGTGAAACCCACGAGCACGGGTATGGTGCTGATAAACCTAGAAACATAATCGGGGCGAACCGGGATTCGAACCCACAATCATAGGTTTCTGGCGTGTCCAAGGGATCTTTGTGGTATAAAACTAGAGACTAGGACTCAACTGTTTCTAAATTAAACTCTATGAACAAACATACGAGGGGTATCAGAATACTTTGAGTCCAGCATATATTAACTGAAACATTGTCTTGAAGTATTTTTTTCAACATAGTCCCCTTGCTGTTCAATGCAGTTGTTCTATCTCTTCTGAAGGTCAGTTATCCCTGTGTTGAAGAAGGCCAATGTTGGTCAGTCATCCAGTTCCAAACAGCAGAAACTGATTCTTGGCCCTCACAAAATCTCAGACCATGCAATTGATTTGTTTTTGTTCCAATTTAAGAACAGACGGCAGCTACTAAGGAAGAGATCTGTTACTTATGAACTGGAGCTTGTCTTGGTGGGGAAGAACACCACGTTAAAATTAGTAGCGAGGCTTCTCTGATAGACTGACGTTGGCACACTATTCGCTATTCATAGTGCACCCCATGGTAAATAATCAATGTGCAATTATGCCTTTGCTGTCCCGAAAGAATGCATATGTGAGCATTGTGACCACATGGCCGTCTATTGGGTTGTGCTCACCGAAGCGTGTGCTTCGTGAACACAACGAAGGACGAGGACAAAATCTCTCTGAAACCGCTACCCGTCACTCGCCTAAAACTGTTGCGATACAATCTGGCAAACAGGAGATTAGAGGTGCTTATCTGCATGGCATTTATTTTATCCGATAGCATTCTAGAAACCAATCGAGGACAAACCTTTGACGCATTTAGATGTTTCTGAAGGATTTGTTAAATTTACCCTTACGAAAAGTCTGTGTGCTCTTCTGCCTCATGGAGTGTAGTGCGCCTCTTGTTCAGTACCATCTTCCCGAGGCAAGAGAGTTAACTGACTATAAAAGTCCAGTTTCCACGTACCAGGTTGTGGAAGGCATCAAGGTGTCCTTTGTAGCGCTGGTGGGGGGTTGGGATGGGTGTGACCAGAGCGGGACCTCTCTCACGCTGAAATTCCTACATCCAATGTTACTTGTAGTATGTAATTGGGCAGACCTCCCATAAAAATCATCTGGGGAACAAGTATTGATGGCTGTTCTGTACTGAGTGGTGTCTATGTCAATGCTATGGTGTAGTCAGAGTCGTAGTCAGTTATCAACACGACACTGGACTGAAGCCAACGGATTGTGAAACGTGACTTAATAAACACAGGTCAATGTAAATATGTGTCAAACGTGAGCACAACAACCAAAATATACCAGGCTCAAAACTTTGATATCCCCTCGTAAAACATTCCGTGGTGTTTATACAGTCACCATACTTTATTGAAACAAACATATCCTAATACGAACAGGAGGATAGTTCCATGGATGTACAGCTTCTTTATTACAATGAATTCCACGTTTCGGTGTAGATACTTACACCGTCGTCAAGCAAGTGAGTGAGTGAGTGAGTTTGGTTTAACGCCGCTTTTAACAGTATTCCAGTTATATCGCGGCGTGTCAGCTTAATGTGGGAGGAAAGCCCGAAGTGATGCAGGTCTCAGACGTTTACCACTTCGGTGAAACCCACGAGCACGGGTATGGTGCTGACAAACCTAGAAACATAATCGGGGCGAACCGGGATTCGAACCCACAATCATAGGTTTCTGGCGTGCCCAAGGGATGCAGCTCTGCACAGCGAATCGCGGCGCCTTAGACGACTGGGCCACCCGTGCCCCCCGTCAAGCAAGTGATGTACAGAAATGTCGTTAGTTTATATACATGTACGTGTTGATAATTGATGTTTATACAAGGTTGAATGATAATAGATTGATGTCTGCACAACATATAAGGTTGAAGTATAAAGCCTGATAGATGCACAGATAAGAATGAATAGGATTAACAAGGCATGGTTGAGTAAAACAATACAGTGGTTGATATGGACAAGTTAATTTGAAGCCAGTATCAAGACCAGAAGGATTTAGATATATATTTTGGGGGGCAGGGGTGGCCCAGTCGTCTAAGGCGCCGCGATTCGCTGTGCAGAGTTGCGTCCCTTGGGCACGCCAGAAACCTATGATTGTGGGTTCGAATCCCGGTTCGCCCCGATTATGTTTCTAGGTTTGTTAGCACCATACCCGTGCTCGTGGGTTTCACCGAAGTGGTAAACGTCTTAGACCTGCATCACTTCGGGCTTTCCTCCCACATTTAGCTGACACGCCGTGATATAACTGGGATAATGTTAAAAGCGGCGTTAAACCCAACTCACTAACTCACTAGATATATATTTAGATATATATAATGGACAAAGGAAATGAGATTACGACTGTTTAGTTATGAGTTTATGGTAGGCCGTTGGGATGTAATAACCTTGATCTCTGTTGATGGCTGGTTGGAGTCATATGATGAGGATGGCTTCCAGGTGTGCCTGATCTTGTAGTTGGCACGATCTCTGGTAATTACGTCGATATTGTTCCAATTGATGTTGTGGTCTGGATGGGACTGGATATGGCGGATTTGGAGTCTTTCTTCTGTAATGAGGTTTGATGTTCCGGGAGGGGCCTTGATGTTTCTCAACATAAGAGTCACCACAACCACAAAATGGTCATGCCAACTGCAAGATGAGAACACTTCTAGAAGTCATCCACGTGAAAGGACCAGCCATCAACAGAGGCCCGCACTGGTATTTTTCAGATTCCCCTGACGTACTGGCTGTACGACGGCTTCAGAATGAGACTCACGGAAGACTATATCAAGTACAACACCCTCTTCGGGGAGGTCAGGGACACATTTAGTCAGAAGACCACACCAGGTATATTTAGATGTATAAAGTCAATTACCTAGAGAGAAAAGAATCATAACATTCGTAAAAAGTAAGGGCAAGTAAAGTAAATATTTCAATTTCGCAGATTTTTATACTTTAGGGCATATTGAATCACAAATGTTTGACCAAAATTAAATTTGAAAACGAAAATGGAGCATAACCGACGGTAAAAAACGACAGGAACGATTGTTCAGGTCATACAGCATGTCCAGAAAACAACTTTTGCTATTTTAAAATGAAAGCGATAAAACCCTTTCAACATTCATAAGAAATTTCTGCGAATAGCAGAGTCGATTGTACGATTCAGACTATAACATATTTATGTGTTTATGAATCCCTATCAAATAGTGATGATACTAGGTGTTCGCGAAAAGGTGAGCATATCCTGCTACATCGGTGGCACCCGTCACCAAAAAGACATGCAAAAGCAAGTCAATTGTTCACCTGACAAAAAAACAACACTGGAATAGGGAATTGCATCGGACATCATTTTTGTCACAGATGCTTCAAATGTGGAAACCTCCTCCATATGTCTACCACAAAAACGTTTTGTTTGAACGTTTTACTGAAGCCTTGAATGTTGTAAACTTCATCATTCAACTTTTGAGCAAGAGTATGACATAAGTTGAAAATTGGATGCTCGATTTTACCTCTGAAGTTGTGAAATGTAAACACCCAAACTGTAGGAAAATGAGCAAACGAAATACCAAATAACAACCCAACAGCATCGCAGGCCGTCCCAGAAGATTATCAGTCGGTTCCTTTGTGTTGAATGTTTATTGCAGTCAGCAATTCCTTCGTGGTGAGTGTGTGTTGCAGGTTGCAGATCCTTTGTAGTGATTGTGTGTTGCAGCAAGCAGATCCTTTGTAGTGATTGTCTGTTGCAGCAAGCCGTTCCTTTGTAGTGATTGTGTGCGCAGTCTACAGTTCCTTTGTAGTAATTGTGTGTTGTAGTCAGCAGATCCTTTGTAGTGATTGTGTGTTGCAGTCAATAGTTCCTTTGTAGTGATTGTGTGTTGTAGTAAGCAGATCCTTTGTAGTGATTGTGAGTTGCAGCAAGCAGATCCTTTGTAGTGATTGTGTGTTGTAGTCAGCAGATCCTTTGTAGTGATTGTGTGTTGCAGCAAGCAGTTCCTTTGTAGTGATTTAGTGTTGCAGCAAGCAGATCCTTTGTAGTGATTGTGTGTTGCACTAAGCAGTTCCTTTGTAGTGATTGTGTGTTGCAGCAAGCAGTTCCTTTGTCGTGATATTGTGTTGTCAGCAGATCCTTTGTCGTGATTGTGTGTTGCAGTCAACAGATCCTTTGTAATAATTGTGTGTTGCAGCCAGCAGATCCTTTGTAGTGATTGTGTGTTGCAGCAAGCAGATCCTTTGTAGTGATTGTGTGTTGCAGTCAACAGTTCCTTGGTAGTGATTGTGTGTTGCAGTAAGCAGTTCCTTTGTAGTGATTGTTTGTTGCAGCAAGCAGTTCCTTTGTAGTGATTGTGTGTTGCAGCAAGCAGTTCCTTTGTAGTGATTGTGTGTTGCATCAAGCAGATCCTTTGTCGTGATTGTGTGTTGTAGTCAGCAGATCCTTTGTAGTGATTGTTTGTTGCAGCAAGCAGTTCCTTTGTAGTGATTGTGTGTTGCAGTCAACAGTTCCTTGGTAGTGATTGTGTGTTGCAGCAAGCAGATCCTTTGTCGTGATTGTGTGTTGCAGTCAACAGTTCCTTTATAGTAATTGTGTGTTGTAGTAAGCAGATCCTTTGTAGTGATTGTGTTTTGCAGCAAACAGTTCCTTTGTAGTGATTGTGTGTTGCAGCAAGCAGTTCCTTTGTAGTGATTGTCTGTTGCAGCAAGCAGATCCTGTGTAGTGATTGTGTGCGCAGTCAACAGTCCCTTTGTAGTGATTGTGTGTTGCAGCCAGCAGTTCCTTTGTAGTGATTGTGTGTTGCAGCAAGCAGTTCCTTTGTAGTGATTGTGTGTTGCAGCAAGCAGCTCCTTTGTAGTGATTGTCTGTTGCAGCAAGCCGTTCCTTTGTAGTGATTGTGTGCGCAGTCAACAGTTCCTTTGTCGTGATTGTGTGTTGCAGCCAGCAGTTCCTTTGTCGTGATTGTGTGTTGCAGCAAGCAGTTCCTTTGTTCTGATTGTGTCTTGTAGTCAGCAGATCCTTTGTAGTGATTGTGGGTTGTAGTCAGCAGATCCCTATAGTGATTGTGGGTTGCAGTAAGCAGTTCCTTTGTAGTGATTGTGTGTTGCAGCAAGCAGTTCCTTTGTAGTGATTGTGTGTTGCAGCAAGCCGTTCCTTTGTTCTGATTGTGTGTGCAGTCAACAGTTCCTTTGTAGTGATTGTGTGTTGCAGCAAGCTGGTCCTTTGTAGTGATTGTTTGTTGCAGCAAGCAGTTCCTTTGTAGTGATTGTGTGTTGCAGTAAGCAGTTCCTTTGTAGTGATTGTGTGTTGCAGCAAGCTGGTCCTTTGAAGTGATTGTGTGTTGCAGTAAGCAGTTCCTTTGTAGTGATTGTGTGTTGCAGCCAGCAGTTCCTTTGAAGTGATTGTGTGTTGCAGTAAGCAGTTCCTTTGTAGTGATTGTGTGTTGCAGCAAGCAGTTCCTTTGAATTGATTTTGTGTTGCAGCAAGCAGTTCTTTTGTAGTGATTGTGTGTTGCAGCAAGCAGTTCCTTTGTAGTGATTGTGTGTTGCAGCAAGCAGTTCTTTGTAGTGATTGTGTGTTGCAGCAAGCAGTTCCTTTGTAGTGATTGTGTGTGTGTTGCAGCAAGCAGTTACTTTGTAGTGATTGTGTGTTGCAGCAAGCAGTTACTTTGTAGTGATTGTGTGTTGCAGTAAGCAGTGTCGGCAACCGGATCAAGTTCTTGACCATCGAGATCAACACGACACTGATTGGCCAATCTCTCAGTTATACAGAAGGACTTCCGGTTGTGAAGCGATGGGAAGACTTTATGACTCAACAGGTATTCACATGCTACAGTTAGTGATCAAATCTATAGACCACAAAAACAACGAAATAAAGTTTGACATGGAAACACGAAGTCATTACCTTCTTGACCTATGTATGTTGAGATTTGATTTGACAAAATGCTACTTTTGAGAAAACACATTTATAGGTGATGTCATCGATAGTTTTCTTGATTTTGATTTTCTGCAGATAATTACTGAAATCCTTGGTTGGGGGTTGGTGGAGGGGGGCGCAGATAGGAGATAGAAATGAATATGTCAAATGGATATGAGGGAACTGTATCAATACTTCACAGGTTTTGTTTACACCACGTTTCTCCTGTGTGTTTGGTTTCTGTCTGGTAATGGAAAGAGGCAGACCCGTGAAGATACGGGTTAGAATTAGCCTTAAGCAACCAATGCTTGTCGTAAGAGGCAACTATGCTTGTTGTCAGAGGCGACTCTATGACGGGATCGGATGGTCAGGCCCACTGACTTGGTTGATGCATGTAAACGTATTACATATCCATAGATCGATGCTCATGGTGTCAATCACTGGATTGTCTGGTCCAGGCTCGATTATATTAAGACCACCGTCATATAGTTGGACTATTGTTGAGTGCGGCGTAAAACAAAAAAACAGACCCAGCGAAATGAGACCGTTTGTTGCACTCCTAAGTCAAATAAGTCTCACTCCATGCATGAACATTGTTCGAACCCTACAACTGCCCCTTGTACGATGTATATTCTGTATGTCTGAGCACTTGCTAGTGTCCTCGCTGGAACCATGTGTGTACTGGATTCCTTGGTCAAAAATATATTTTTTTTGTTTGTTTGTTGTTTAACGCCACACTGAGCAATATTCCAGCTATATAACGGCGGTCTGTAAATAATCGCTAGATCAGACAATACAGTGATTGACATCATGGGCATCGATCCACGCAATTGGGATACAATGACATGCAACAACCAAGTCAGCGAGTCTGACCACGCGGTCCCGTTGATCGCCTTAAGCAATAGTGGCTCCATTCACGGGTGTTGGAGGAACACAGTGCATAAATAAGGTGAGGTATTGGCTGTGTATCAAGAGGAGACAGCTACTTCTCTTCTGGGAAAGGCAAGGGACAGCGGTTGGTTGGTTGGTTTGTTGTTAAAACGCCACACTCAGCAACATTCCAGCTATATGAGGGCGGTCTGTAAATACTCGAGTCGGGACCAGACAATCCAGTGATTGGTATCATGAGCATCGATCCACGCAATTGGGATACGATGACATGCATCAACCAAGTCAGCGAGCCTGACCACCCGATCCCGTTAGTCGCCTTTTACGACAAGCATGGTCACCTTTTACGGCAAGCATGGGTTGCTGAAGACCTATTCTACCCCGGATCTTCACGGGTCCAAGGGACAACGGGGACAAACGAAGAAAATATACTTAGATGTGATCATGCTGGAGTCTAAAATCAATATCTAAGGTAGAATATAGTATTAATCCACTTTCGAGTAGGAAAGTGAATTGCGTATCATTGTGTAAAATGTCTACTTTCTGTTTCACAAGTTGAACAAGATGCCTGCGAGTCTCAAGGGAGGTTTCCAGACAACATCGGTATTTTGGCACTGGCTCCACATACAAAAGGTGCACTTTAAATAAATTTCGTTGAAATAATCAGAGTTCTTATGTTTGTTAATTTTTTTCTCAAAATAATGTTTAACATGTAAACAGCAGCTATTGCAATATTTGATATCAATATACCATGAAGAGAGCTTGAATATTATCACTTAAATTGTACAATCAATACAGTTGGACGGTTGTAGATTCATGTGCTGAAAGAGGACCGCAATACCCAATGGTTGTTCTGTGAGAGATTATTGTAGATCGGATGGTACAACGTCTGACCAATCTGGTCGTTTCATTGTGGCCCATTGGCATGAATCGATGCTCATGCTGTCAATCCTTTGTTATTTGATCCAGACTCGTGATATATTTGGAGTGTAGATCACTGGCGTATATCAACATTCACTCACTGGACTGTGGAGATTTTGATGTTGACAATTTTCTGATTCTATTTTAGGCACTTGCAGATAACGCTATACTGGGAATCGCTATTGGACTCAGCCTGGCCTTCCCTGTACTAACACTGGCGACCCAAAACATCATTCTTGGTTTCCTAGCAACTGTGTCAATTGGCTGTGTCACCGTGTGTGTCATCGGTGTGATACCCCTTGCTGGATGGAAACTTGGGGTGGGTAAATTACATAATGGTTGTATACTCCCCAGGGAGCTGAGAATGGTTCTTGTGTGCACACTGATCCAGTGACCGGGTAATAGTGTTTTTTGAGCATGCCCCTGAGTGGTGTGGAAATATAAATGGCCTATTATTATTATTATTATTATTATTCACGTCACATCATAGTTTTGTAACGCATGTTAAATATAAACGTTGTTTATTTTGACAAACAGTTATGTAATGTGAACTTTCGTATGAAATGAAATCATGAAAAATCATGAGCAATATTAAAATTCCCCAGTTTCAATACATGGGTTTGAGATTAAAGTATGAAGAACCTTTTCAAGATCAAATATTTGTGGAAGAATGAATTGCGTTCAAGAATACATGTTTCTTGTCATTTTACAGGTGCTCGTGTCGCTCAACATGTGTCTTGTTGTTGGACTAGCTGTGGACTATATTGTACACTTGGCGGAAGGATACCATCTATCTAAAAGTAGAGACAGGAAGTCGCGAGTCCGAGATACTCTCGAAGCCATGGGCGTGCCCATCTTTTCTGGAGCATGCACTACTCTCGGAGCTGCCTTCTTTATGCTGTTTGCAGAAATCCAGTTTTTCTTCCAGTTTGGCATATTCATGTTTTGTACGATCGGCTTTTCTCTCCTGTTTTCAATGGGCTTTTTCATCACCCTCCTTGGTATTGTGGGTCCGAGTGGCGATCAAGGGGACTTTGTTGTCTTCTTCAGGAGATACTGTTGCAAGAAGAAGCCCTCAGACCCTCAAAGAGATGGGGTCAAAAACACTGAGTCCTTTACCAGTCATTTGTGAAAAGAGTTCAACAGTATTTTTATTAAACCAGTCAGAGCTAAATGGAGGAAGAATGCCTAAATTGGCTCAGGTTGTATACATTTGATGTTCCCAACGATTACGCTTTCTGGCTTACCAAGGCCCTAGGCGAATTTCAGATTCGAACTCATGATCCGCTGATTCCAGCAGCTGAGTGATACCATTCTGCATAGGGAATGGTTTCACGTGTCGCTATTAGAAATGTTCCAGACATAACGAGTGAATGAGTTAGTTGGGTTTAACTCTGCTTTTAACAGTATTCCAGTTATATCACGGCGTGTCAGCTTAATGTGGGAGGAAAGCCCGAAGTGATGCAGGTCTCAGACGTTTACCACTTCAGTGAAACGCACGAGCACGGGTATGGTGCTGACAAACCTAGAAACATAATCAGGACGCAACTCTGCAGAGCGAATCGCTGCATCTAAGACGACTCGGCCACCCGTGCCGATGAGACAAGATGACACAATCGGGCCCAGAATCCACATGGAACCAGCTCTCACAACAACCATGGGATACGGGACACCTCGTCTGGCCCAGAATCCACATGGCACCAGCTCTCACAACCGGCATGGGATACGGGACACCTCGTCTGGCCCAGAATCCACATGGAACCAGCTCTCACAACAAGCATGTGATACGGGACACCTCATCTGGCCCAGAATCCACATGGCACCAGCTCTCACAACCGGCATGGGATACGGGACACCTCGTCTGGCCCAGAATCCACATGGAACCAGCTCTCACAACCGGCATGGGATACGGGACACCTCGTCTGGCCCAGAATCCACATGGCACCAGCTCTCACAACAAGCATGTGATACGGGACACCTCGTCTGGCCCAGAATCCACATGGCACCAGCTCTCACAACAAGCATGTGATACGGGACACCTCGTCTGGCCCAACATTCCCACGTATTATGAGCATTGTCCCAAGTGTTTGTGACACTGCTATCATGACTGGCTTTGACATTACATCACATAAAGCGGTATTCACTTGACACTATTGTTTATTTCATGAAGTGTCCATTTCTCCATGACATTGAACAACTTCTCAGAAGTGGGCGGAGACTTTCCAAAACTTTCAATTAAACAGCAAGCCATACAAATTATTTTTAAAATACCTATGCAACACGGAGGACAGAAAATATGAATTGGTCAGTAAATGGAAGGTAAACAAAACACTCTCATGAATAAATATCTATCTCTATGTTCAAACAGCAGTAGCGAAGTATTACAAGATCTGTGAAAAAAAGTTCACAAAAAATGTGCTAAACAAATTAAATGCAACACAACATGCCAATAAAACCACAAATGTAAATGGACTCTGCTTCAAACCTTGGAACTAAAACATATAAAACAGAATGAAGCAAGCTAAAGTCTGGTGTACGGGCATCCAGAAAAATAGTATAGTTACTTCAGTTTGTTTGACCAATCCATGCATATTGTCTAAATGTTAATAAAAGTAAGATCAGTGCATTGTCACAAACTTGAAGATGACATCCTTCATTGTTTATATCACAGATGATTTTATGTGGCCTTCCAAGTAGTCTTCCTTACAAAAATGACTACCGTTCATACATTGAATCACATCAGCAACTGAGGACTAGAAAAATGTTTGCATTCCATTACAAACAGAACCATCACAACCTTTCCAGACTGCCCCTAAGCTTCCCCAACTGAAACCTCTCTGAGATGACAGCTGGCCTCACCAATATCTAGTCCTATTCATCTTTGATCCCTATGATGGTGTCTAATGAAGTACAACTTGAAGTACATAGAGTCCCATGCATCTTGTTACAGTGATACGCACCTCTGGTTTAATGACATTACTTCCAGTACACCTTCAAATTCAGTACCACCGAAACACAAAAGGCCAATGTCTCTAGCTACCTTGATATGATAAGTGCTTGGGACGTTTGATCTTTGTCGGTGCCTATCATCTAGATGGCTTCCATATGCCCATTGCTATTCCTATTCCTTTACCAATCAGTGATAATTTAGTCCTGGCTTCCAGTTGTCCATAACTATCAGCGCCAATTATCTGTTGGCTTCCCTTTTTAAGTTTCCACCTTTTGTTATCTTATTACTTTTGTTGTTCTTACATGTACATATATATGCTCTCTGCCTCATGGCATCCCTTCACCCGATGAAGGAGTAAGCATATACTCCAAAATGTTGTGTTCCTCATAATAAAGAAGTTGACATCCATAAATTCTCTTTCTTATATGTATCACTTCTAAATGCCTTTCAAAGACTTGACTTCTGGTTTGACAAACACATGTCCGATGTAACACAACTTTGAAACAGAAAATCCCCACCTCCAGTTACCATAAAACAAGGTTATATACATTGAGTCAAATGACATGTCCTTCATCCTCAGCCATGTGCTGAAACGTTTTTCGAACGTAGGAACAGATAGTGTTTCCTTCTCTCCTTCTTATGTCGTTATATTTCTTCTCACAATGTGTCACTGTAGCACCAATCATGTCCACAAGCCTTGTAATTACCTTAGCATGTGGTTGAGAAAGGAAAGTGGGACCTTAAACAAGTGCTGCGTAATCCACGTGAATTCATGTAATCAGCCTCGTGCCAAGGCTTACACAATAAGTGAGTTGGGTTGAACGCCGCTTTTAACAGTATTCCAGTCATATCAAGGCGTGTCAGTTTCATGTGAGAGGAAAGCCCGAAGTGATGCAGGTCTTAGACGTTTAACACTACCGTGAAACCCACAAGCACGGGTATGGTGCTAACAAACCTAAAAACATAATTGGGGCTAACCGGGATTCGAACCTACAATCATAAATTTCTGGCATGCCCAAAGGGACGCAACTCTGCACTCTTGCGGCGCCTTAGACGACTGGGCCACCCATGCCCCCAACAAAATAAGTTCACTGCAGGTATATAAACTTTATTCCTTGTACCTCTTGTTATTCTCTACATAGTGTCATCTACATCTTTAAAGGAAAGTATACGATTATAGATGATGTACAAGAATGAAAGGACTTTTCCTAAAATAAGAACAAATTCCAATGCAATTCTTCTTTCAATTTTTAATGGAAGCCTTCGTGAGCACCAACTCCCAAAAATCGCAATAACTTAACAAGTTCAGACCAGGTAAATCAAGGACAACCTATATTTAGGGGCCGACCATTTGATAGCCCGCGATTTTATCCCAAAAAAATAAATTGCCTCCGAAAATTCTTGAACAAAATAATTTCCCCAGCTTCATATTGCTGGGGAAAAAAGATATTGTCTGCCTCAAAAATTACATTACATGCGTTTTTTTAGAAAAAAATTATTTTGACTCATAGTTTAACTTATGGAAATATCTGGTTTTCGAGCAGAATATGGTCGGTCCCTAACCAGTAACCGGCAAATCAAGGCTAACTTTTACCATATAGTGAGTTGGGTTTCAACAGTATTTCAGTTATATCGCGGCGTGTCAGTTTAATGTGGGAGGTTAGCCCGAAGAGATGCAGTCTCAGACGATTAGCACTTCGGTATGGAGCACGGGTATGGTGCTGACAAACCTAGAAACATAATCGGTGTGAACCGGGATTCGAACGCACAATCACAATCGTGTCGCCTTAGACGACTGGGCCACCCGTGCCCCCCACCTTTTACCATATAATATCATAACAGTTTAAACGAGTATGTGACAACAACCTTATACAATAGAACTTGAGCATCTTCAAGCAACATTTAAACCATGTATACAGGCCTGTTCAACACAAGTTGTAGGTGGTAGCCTCGTGGTTAAAGTGTTCAACTGAAGGCCCAGGTTTTCAATTCCAAACATCTACAACATGTGAGGGATTGCCCTGTCATGATAATTGACTAGATTAAAATTTATCAACTAACAAACTCTTCATTGTGACCTGATTCAGAAATAAAACATACGTACATACAGTTACGTACAGTTATTCCTTTGTGGAAAGCATTCATAAAACTATATAAGCAGAAGACCAAACACTAATTACCTTGCACAAGTCACAAACTATGTAAGCAGTAGACCAAACACTAATTACCGGTACCTTGCACAAGTCACAAACTATGTAAGCAGTGGATCAAACACCAATTACCGGTACCTTGCACAAGTCACAAACTATGTAAGCAGAAGACCAAACACCAATTACCTTGCACAAGTCACAAACTATGTAAGCAGAAGACCAAACACCAATTACCTTGCACAAGTCACAAACTATGTAAGCAGAAGACCAAACACCAATGACCTGCACAAGTCACAAACTATGTAAGCAGAAGACCAAACACCAATGACCTTGCACAAGTCACAAACTATGTAAGCAGAAGACCAAACACCAATTACCTTGCACAAGTCACAAACTATGTAAGCAGAAGACCAAACACCAATTACCTTGCACAAGTCACAAACTATGTAAGCAGAAGACCAAACACCAATGACCTTGCACAAGTCACAAACTATGTAAGCAGTGGATCAAACACCAATTACCGGTACCTTGCACAAGTCACAAACTATGTAAGCAGAAGACCAAACACCAATTACATTGCACAAGTCACAAACTATGTAAGCAGAAGACCAAACACCAATGACCTGCACAAGTCACAAACTATGTAAGCAGTGGATCAAACACCAATTACCGGAACCTTGCACAAGTCACAAACTATGTAAGCAGTAGACCAAACACCAATGACCTTGCACAAGTCACAAACTATGTAAGCAGAAGACCAAACACAAATTACCTTGCACAAGTCACAAACTATGTAAGCAGTAGACCAAACACCAATGACCTTGCACAAGTCACAAACTATGTAAGCAGAAGACCAAACACCAATGACCTTGCACAAGTCACAAACTATGTAAGCAGTGGACCAAACACAAATTACCTTGCACAAGTCACAAACTATGTAAGCAGTAGACCAAACACCAATGACCTTGCACAAGTCACAAACTATGGAAGCAGTCGATCAAACACCAATTACCTTGCACAAGTCACAAACTATGGAAGCAGTCGATCAAACACCAATGACTTTGCACAAGTCACAAACTATGGTTGCAGTAGACCAAACACCAATTACCTTGCACAAGTCACAAACTATGGTTGCAGTAGACCAAACACCAATTACCTTGCACAAGTCACAAACTATGGTTGCAGTAGACCAAACACCAATTAGATGTACCTTTCACAATTCACAAACATGTAAACATAAATAAAACAAATTCAACGGCAAAATGCTCCAATAGTAAAACTGTTGGATTGTTTGAAACTTTTTTACATTGCAGGAATCGTTGTCTGTACACACACACAACGCCGCAGCATTGTGACATCTGCTTACATGCATCTTCCAGAGGCAAGGGAGTTCACTGACTCTTAAACGTTTCCACCCTTGCCGAACTTGGCAGGAATTATTGGGCTCGTCGTAGTACCACCAGTGTATATATCACGAGTTAGGTCCCTTCTATGCCCTCCTATTGACCAATCAGATTCCACCTCTCATTTCACTTGAATTTGCTTCAAACAAAATGGCGGGGCCCTGTCAACACGATCTGATCTATAATCAAGATATATATTGTAATAAAACTGGTCTTACTTTGAAAAGTGAATCAAATCAGGTGAGCATCTAAATTAAAAACATGAATAGATTTGGTAAATATCTGTCGACGCCCATTTGATGGTACACATGCTTTGCAAATGATGCAGTTAAACGACATCTGCAGTTGACCGACGTCTGCAGTTGAAGTCCATGTTATTTACAAACCAGATGTCGATTTCGGTACGTGATTTTGATTGGACTATACAAAGACTTGTTAGTGAAGGCAAAATATAACTACATAACACCAGCCAAGTTCGGCAAGGGTGGAAACTGGACTTTTACAGTCAGTTAACTCCCTTGCCTCGGGAAGACAGTTTACATGTAGCAAAGAGAAACAGGGATATAGCTCTACACAAGAATAACAGTTCAGAAGTACATGAAGGTATCATGCCATGATTGTCATTAAAAAAACAACTTTCAATACAAAACAAGAATAACACATCCTTTCAACAGTATCAGCAGTCGTTGATGAAGGATCCTTGTCAATCGTTGTCCATGAGGCAGGCTTCGCTTTATTTCCAAGAAGTTTACATTTAGCCCTTGCTATTTACAAAGATGGGATTTCAATGTGTGTGCATTTCTTACAAGGATGGAAATGTGTTAATTTAATTAACAATTTTAATTAGTTTTTCTGATTCAAACACCCAATTTTTTTTTCGTCCTCCAGTCTGATCATGACAATGTAAATTATTTGCATCCATTCACAATGTGAATGCTTATAAGATGCAATATTGCACAGCCAGTAAAACCTGAAGGTATGTGTTGTGTTCAGAAGTGATTATTGCAATAGTGTTGTGGTAACACAAAGATAAAGAATCATGGTACAACTATTGTGATAGCTAAAACATTAAAGTCATATAAATAGAATTGTGGTAACTAAACCACTCTTATAATATGGGTGCAAGTACTCCAACAGTTTTGTGATAGCTAAACCACTATGGTAATATAGGGGCAACTTTAAATAGATCATTGTGATAGCTAATGCCCCATTGAATTAAGGTGCAACTATAACAAAAGCATCGTGAAAGCTAAAACACAATTGAAATATAGGTGCAACTATAACAAAAGCATTGTGAAAGCTAAAACACAATTGAAATAAAGGTGCAACTATAACAAAAGCATTGTGAAAGCTAAAACACAATTGAAATATAGGTGCAACTATAACAAAAGCATCGTGAAAGCTAAAACACAATTGAAATATAGGTGCAACTATAACAAAAGCATCGTGAAAGCTAAAACACAATTGAAATATAGGTGCAACTATAACAAAAGCATTGTGAAAGCTAAAACACTATTGAAATATAGGTGCAACTATAACAAAAGCATCGTGAAAGCTAAAACACAATTGAAATATAGGTGCAACTATAACAAAAGAATTGTGATAGCTAAAACACTAGTGAAATATAGATGCATCTGTAACAAAATCATTGTGATAGCTAAACCACTATCGAATATATAGCATTCCCTGACATCATTAACTCAACAACAGTTCCACATGTAAAGAAACAGACAATATACAGTCAACATTTCAATAGTCTTTAACAAAATTACTTAAACAAGCAAGATAAGAGTAGCCCTGGGATGGCTTTTTCTTTGGCAATTAGATTTTTGCATCCTCTGACAAACATAGAAATTGTTCTACACAGTATTGGTTTATATACTTGTTGAAGCTTTGAAAGAATGTCACTTCATTGTGCTGATATAAAACAATAAAAAAATAGTCTGTACTCCCCTGAGCTCTTCACACCATACCTTATGCTCGACACTGTCTCAGAGCTTAGCATTCGTGTCATGTACTGTCGACCACACACTCTCTCAGTCTCTGACAGAGCAATCATGTGACATACATTCTTTGAAAATAAAAGACTTCTGTGACGTCATTCTACTGTTTAAACGCTCCATAATTTTCAGGAATGGACAATTATACATTATCTTTAAACAACATTTCAATTAATTTACACTTGGAATGGACGGAACTATTTTTTTTATATTTGACAATTTAAGGATTTCAAAGTTTATAGGAAAAGGTGTCGCCATCGGGTTTTCAAACCCGCACCATTTTATTTGAAGACGTCTAATTGTCGACTCAGCAAAGGTACACATGATGGTATGATGTGAAAATAACTATTAAATATTTTCAAATATTTGCATTAACCTTGAAAGCCCCGAAAATAATATGTACATAGTGTTGTGTTACCATGGTTACAGCTGGTTACCTATAACAATGTTTATATTTAAACCTTTTCGAGAAAAAGAATATTAAAGGTAAACATATATATCCTTGTTCAGGGCTCCATATTTCCAATAATCCCTGACAGCATGTATTTACAACGTGCAAGCAATTGATAAACTGCTAGTTTCGGACCCCCCAAAACTATGAGGAGCCGTGTACAATGCGTTGTAAAAATCAGCCTGTGACGGAGCTTGGTGCACGTGCAACGGCGGCAGAGAAGGCATTCCTTGTGCATCATGCGAAGCGACTCACTCCATATAAATACAGTCTACAAAGAGTTTTCAAATATTTTCCACAAGAGAATGTTTTGTCAAAGTGTAAAGTAGAGATGTGTTTTAAGTAGGGGAACATCCTCATAACTTTCCATTCCTTAAACTAATGGGCCTTTGACCCTGCAGGATCCAAGGACAATTATTTTTCAGGAATGGACAGTTACTCAGCCATTCCCCTCTACATAATCACTGTTTTAAGGGTAACGCTATTTTTCAGGGCATTATCATTTGCAGAAGCCCGAGGTCTTCCATTAACTGCCCGATGAAGGAGGGCAGTTGAAAAGACTGAGGGCTTCTGCAAATGATAATGCCCTGAAAAATAGCGTTATCGTTATTACAGCTAAAATGGATAGGATTTCTTATCAAATAAAAATACACAACAATGTCGGTTTTGATCAACACACAACGAACGTCACTGACCCCTATTTACAAATATGGAAACGTCATAGAAAAAAACAGATGATGTCACCATTGAACATCAATATGACATCACCTAACAACGGGCGTGATAATGGCCCGTCGTCAAGCAATATGAGGGCATTATCAAGTTACAGTGACCAACTCATTTCTGATAACATGAGAACGGTTTAATGATAATTCTATCCATTTTAGCTATATCCCGGTAATAGATGATAACAGCTATGAGAGTGCCTCTCATGATCAGATGCTTGGCAACAATGTGATGGTAAAGCAATATTCCAGCTATATTACGGCGGTCTGTAAATAATCGAGACTGGACCAGACAATCCAGTGATTGACATCATGAGCATCGATTGCTTCTATATCAGGCAAAGGTAGGGTTTGTACCAAGTTCATGCACATAATTAGGCTCATATGACTTCCGTGAGCTACAAGCTGTCCCATTTTATTAGCTGACTAATAATAAACACAAGTCACTATGACACTGCAAATGATCATATTAACGGGGTGTATTCCAATGTATTGATGATGTGTAGTCTTCAAAAACACTCATATAAATATTATATATACATAATAACAACCCGTCATGTTTTCTGCATCCTGATTGAAAGCTTCCTGTGGTCGTTACAATGCCGGTAGATTCACCATCTTGCAACTGAGATCCCAGAGCTGTTTTGCCACCTCATCATCTTGACCTTGGGCAGCAGTGCCCTTCTCGGCACAGTCGCTGTAAACATGAACGCAAACATTGTAATACATAGTTTCATGTTCTAACCCATCTTTCTGAGGCAAGATAGTTAACTGACCATAAAAGTCCAATTTCCATCCTTGCTGAACTAGGCTGTGCCATTGAGTTACATTTTTTGGCTGGACTAACGAGTCTATGCATAGTCCAATCAAATTTGCACATAAAAATCGAAATCTGGATCGTAAACTGACATTGATTTTTGTCGATTGCAGGATTTGCAAAGCTTGCCACTGCCTACTCGTGACATATCAACAGATATTTTCCCAATCTTTTCATGTTTTTACTCAAGGTGCTCACATGATTTGGTGCATTTTGCGATGTAAGCCCTGTTTTGGAATCTGATTGGTTCATAGGTGAGGTGAGGTGAAATGGGGTTTAACGTCTCGTCCAAGATTATTGCACTTATATAGCGACATGCATGCACGTGTGTGTGTGGCAGCTTGTACTAGGCTGATTTATAGTATTAGCCCACTGAGTTACCATGCCGCAGTTTAACATACATGAATACCCCACTCAGACACAGTATACCGACTCCAAGCCGACCAGTCCTTGTTTTAGCCCCTTAATGCTGAGCGCAAGACAGGGTAACAACAAGTACCATCTTTTAACACCTTTTGGTATGACGCGGCCAGGGCTCGAACACCGGACCTTCCGCTCTCCGGGCGGATACTACAACACTAGACCACAGAGCCAGTATGGTCCATAGGAGAGGCTTGGAAGGGACATAACTGGTAATAGCCACTGGTGGCACTACGATCGAGCCCAGAAATTCCCACTTATTTCGGCAAGGGTGGAAACTGCACTTTAAAGTCAGTTAACTCCCTTGCCTGGGGAAGATGGTTCTAACCAGTCTGAACGATTACATGTGCCTCTATTTCAGGCCAAACAAGTAGTATCATGACGACAACTCATGTTAATCCCTCTGACAAATGATCAGTGTTAGATATTGGCACTAGTCCTGTAGTTAAGGTATCATAAGGACTAATTTGCCACTTTTAAGAGTTTTGCTATTTGTTGTGATTATAAGGACTAGTGGACTAAAACTGTTAGTTTCTACCACTATGATAACTCTTGTCACTGTTATTCCCTCGCCCACCATTCTGTATCATGTCAAATACTCAGTCTTGCTTGACGTCACTATTTCAGTATAATAAAGAAGTTGTTATCCATAATTGTTTTGTCTATGTTGTGATCCGTCAACTTGTAAGAAATTCCTGTCAAACAATAGTATCTTGATGGTTGGTGATCTTAAAAGCATGTATGTTTGGCTTTACTCTTGTCTGAGATCATCTTCCCAAGGCAAGGGAGTTAACTGACTATAAAAATCCAGTTTCCACCCTTGCCGAACTACGCTGGAATTTCTAGGCTCGATCGTAGCGCCACCAGTGGCTATTATGAGTTATGTCCCTTCTTTATGTTGACGGATCACAAGGTTCTCTAAAAAATCTAGATCATTTAAGATGAGAAAAGAGAAGTGGGTTTGTGCATTTTCTATTTTAAAATATTTTACAACATATGGATAAAACTTTCATCTCTTAGAAAACATCATACTTTCTCTGTGTTAGTGTGTAATTATGTTAGCACATTGACATTGTGTGTATGTACATATTTCCCACAATTTGTAACAAGATGCTGCATTCCCCTGATGATATCACTCAGTGAGTTGGTGAGCAAGCTGGGATTAGCACAACTTTGAACAGTATATGTAACTGTGTGTCAGCTTGATGTGGGAGCGAAGCTCGCAGCGATGCAGGTCTTACATGCTGTAACCCACAAGCATGGGTTTGGTGCTGACAAACCTTGAACAATGATGACGATGAGCCGGGATTCGAACCCACCGTCATAGGTATCTGGCACACCTAAGGGAAGCAACTCTGTGGTGAATTGCATCTTTGACAACTGGCCACCTATGCCTTTTACAGTGCTTAGAGTGAGTGAGTGAGTGAGTGAGTGAGTGAGTGAGTGAGTGAGTGAGTATGGTTTTATGCCTCTTTTAGCAATATCACAGCAGGGGACACCAGAAATGAGCTTCATACAGTGCTTTGATCTGATAATGACGTCATAGTACAAAGAATGGTGGGATGATACTGTAATTAGCTTTTGTTGTAAACAATACACAACCCTCTGATAAAATGTGAAGTACTTAACATTTTGTTTGATGTACAGAGAATTTCCCCAGAGTGTCTTTTGATATATATAATTATATCCACATGAATCAATAAAGTTGAAACTGAGGATTGCTGCTGATTCTTAAACTTTGGTCAAATTTTATAAAAAAATTCTGTTTATCATTCAGAATCATTCATTCAATTTTTGAATGTTTTTAAACAGTAATAATCAAAAAGTACAGCTAACCATTTTCAGTGCCTGAGAGATTAGTGATGTCACTGATTCAGACATCATGGCAACAGGTGATGCAGCTATTGTCTGCTAAGCATTGTGATGCAATTTCATGAAAGCAAGATCTCGTAAGAAGTGTTACTTAATCTCATTCAAGCAAAGCAGAAACCAGTATTGGTTGATATATAACACAATACAGTAAACTACGGTTATAACAAACTCAAAGGAACTACTAATTTTAGTTCATTATAACCGTAGTTCGTTATAAGCATATATACAGCATAAGTACAGCAAATAGTCGGGACCAAAAAAGTAAGTTCGTTATATCCGTCAGTTCGTTATAAGCGTGTTCGTTATAATCGTATTTTATTGTATATGAGACGTAACAGTGCACCGATGTATCGTTTCAACCCTAATTTTCGGCATCTTCCCGAGGCAAGTGAGTTAACTGACTATAAAAGTCCAGTTTCCACCCTTGCCGAACTAGGCTGGTATTATGGAGTTACATTTTGGCTGGACTAACTAGTCTAGGCATAGTCCAATCAAAATCGCGCACCGAAATCGAAATCCGGTTCGTAAAGTGTCATGCAGATTTTGGTCGACTGCAGGATTTGCAAAGCATGTGCACCGCTAATGCGTTGTCAACAGATATTGTCTAAATCTTTTCATGCTTTTAATCAAGGTGCTCACGTGATTTGATGCACTTCGCGATGTAAGACTCGTTTTATCACAATATAGATCTTGATTATCAATCAGATCGTCCTGACTGGGCGCCACCGTTTTGTTTAAAGCAAATGCAAGTGATACAAGAGGTTGAATCTGATTGGTCAATAGGAGAGGCATAGAAAGGACATAACTCGTAATAGCCACTGGTGGTGCTACGATCGAGGCCCAGGAATTCCAGCCTAGTTCGGCAAGGGTGGAAACTGGACTTTTTTAGTCAGTTAACTCTCTTGCCTCGGGAAGATGAATGTTTGGGGACATCTACTTAAGCTGAGTCTTCACTAAGACAATGCTGTTGTAGTACAATGAGATGCTGCAAGGCTTTATTACTCATGTTATCTAAATCTAATGATTCTGTTTAATTCATATGCCTACCTGAAATATTTCCCTGAGACGTCATTCAGACTCTCGTCCACTGCGCAGAATATTGTAGTCTGGGCGCCCTGAACGGGAGTCTTGATGAAGATGAGAGATGCCACTTTGAACAGGGTCTGTTTAAACCATGACACCCCCATCACTGAGAGATGACGGCCGAGCTCTGTCTTGACCACACCCGGGTGTAGTGAGTTGGCGGTCACCTCGGTGCCTGGAAAGTGAGCGAGTGGGTTTTGTTTAAATGAGAGTCCAGACATAAATAGACGAGAGCCAGGCATTAGTAGCGATTCAGGCCATTGGGTAGGATGACACACAACCAGGTCACACATCGTAATCAACTGATCTTTAGTTATTGGTTCTTACAATTGTTTGATTGTCAAGTTCTATGATGGCGGTCTGTCAATAATCAAGTTGAGACCAGACTATCCTGTGATTGACACCCTTAGCATCGATCTACGCAATTGGGATATGATGACATGCATCAACCAAGTCAGTGGGCCTCACCACCCGATCCCGTTAGTCGCCTCTTAAGACAAGCTAAGTTTGCTGAAGACCTATTTTAACCCATTCGTCACCACTCGTCCCTTTCCGTAACCTGCAAGAAGACTCGTCCCCCTATTGATGAATGTTATGTGCGAAAATACGACAAACCAATCAGAATGCATGTATGATTTCAGGTTCTTCGTCAAAGAATCCCTAAGAAATGCCTTGCATCTAAAAATATACCCAAGACACAGTTTAATGTGTTCAATCATACTGTATAATTCTGCATGTCCCGATGTGCTTTAAATTGCATCTGAAATATATATAATATATGGGGAAATATATGTGAACCATTACGCAACTAGTTGACAATTGTTTGTGGTATGCCCGTTTGCGCTGAGACGGATCCCGGTTGCAAAAATGGCCATGTGAGGGGCACGAGTCGCTATTGGGCTTGTCCCGGAATAAAAAGAGTTGGTCACGAATGATTTTAACCTGGATCTTCACAAGGGTTGATTTTTACAACTAGTATGGAGTGCATGGGAGCTCGAGGTTATTTGCTCTCTAATCCACATGATGTACCAGGAGCAATCGTTAACAGCAGGTAGAATAATGCTGTGGTTGCCATGTTGATGCAAAGCAAACAAGTGGTTGATGGTGTGAACAATGACATTTCATCATGTGACCGGCCTTATGTGACCGACCAAAGAATGGCTGCGGTCATATTCAGACAAACCATCAAGCATCCTTATTTACACTGGGCTACTTCAAAGCAATCTGTATCATGTATATTGTAGGTGTCTGGGTAAGATAAAGCCAGTGTATAAAAATGGATAAAGATGCAAATATGAAAGGTCAAGGCTCACCAATATATCAGTATATCAATGCATTGTCAAGGTTAGCTAAATACACTGTTATTCCAAATACAGAATATTTACCATCCACTCATGTGATAACCTCTATTTATTTGTCAACTCTTCAAAGACATCCAATTGAATCCTTCCTAGCCACTACTTTGTCAAAGGTAAAATAGTATATTAATTTTAATATCATCGTTAATGCTAGTAACTTGAGAGTAATTATCATGATGAAGATTTTACAAACGCAAACACTGAACATATTAAAGTTATTTGTCACATTTTAAAGGGAGATAACTCTGCCAGGTATATCTCCAGTCAGAACCAGTATGTTCATCTGCCACCCATTTGTTACCTTGTAGTCTCCTGGCTAGTTCTCTGGCAAACAGCACATTTGCCAGCTTGCTCTGCCCGTACGCCATCAGCGAGTCATAGTGCTGTTCCATGTTGATGTCCTCGAAGTTGATCCTGCCTCCTGTTGTGAGGCACAGACAATGTTTACAACAAATACTTCAGAGAACTGACAGCAGCATTTCCAACGGTTATTTTTGTCGTGGTCCAAAATGTCATTTTCAAAACAAACCTGACATCCTTTTTTTCATAAATACCATATATGCCTCAATAAGTGCCCTGATCTAATAATGTACCCTGACCAACTTCTAGATCCATCTAATCTGCAAGTATCTTTATAAGCACTCCTACAAAGACCAAACATTTAAATGACTGTCTACTCCACTGCAAAAAAAATCCATATATACAAGCTTGTATATCCTTTGGAAAGATGATATTTCCAAAGGATATACAAGATTGGAAAGATGATATATACAAAATATACAAGTTTGTATATATGACATATACAAAATATACAAATTTGTATATATGGTGTATCCAAATTTGTTTTGTTTGTATATATTGGTAAAGGGAGATAATTATTATGTATTTGTGTATAGTTATGATATACAGTGTGTGCAAATTGAAGTGTTTTAAGTTGAGCACTGTGTTTCTTTGTATATGTTGGTAAAGGGGGATAATTGCTATGTATTGCTCTATAAATGTTTTGTATGTGCAAAATAGTATCAGCAAGTTACAAAAAACTGATTTAGTGGCGGGTAACATTACTGGAATGTTTAATTAGTACTCCACACTGTTAGCGGGAGTACATACTGTCCTTGCAATGATATTGACGGGTGGGCGGTTGAGGCGTCTGGTATGTGAGTAGACTTTATGGTCAAATGCACAGAGGGGATTAGCTGTCGGGGGCGATTGCTTTGGCGGTAACTTCTGTATTGAAAGTGTTTGAGCTTGGATTTGTTTTACGGGGAGGCCGCGATGTGTTTTGTAACATGCTCTCGTGCACATATGCCAACAGAGTGGATTGCACAGAGGATGAAAACTATTTTATCACTACTAAAAAGTGTTGAATTTGGTTTGTTCTGAGCTGTCGGTTTCATTGTAGATATACATTGTTATAATGTGAAATCTCGGCGGAAACGCGGAAAATCGCGTTTTGTAAAACGGTAGTCCTTGGGGAAAATTGTATTATGAGCAACCGGATGCGTAAATAACGTGTGTAATATATTCCCGTATTATATTTTATAATACTTGTTCTTTAAATATTGTTATCAATGCGAGAACGAAGATTACCTTGAAAAAACACAACAGCATGCATATGTTCTAGCAAAAGGAAACTTGATATATATTCATTTGGCTTAATTTCTACTTTGGAAAACTTAGTTGGCGCTCTAAAAGCTTGACGCTGTATAATTTGGCACGCGCATGGTTGGGTGCAAACCATATGTACATCAATAATAATAGTAATAATAATAATAATAATAATAATACATCATGATGGCAGTTTCAATGTAAAGATTAAGTATTTTTAAAGATATGGAAAATAAATCTTGATAACTGCTTTAATCTTTGATCTTTGGGAAAATAATAATGGAATTGGTTGAGTGACTAACGTATTCTACTTTAAAAGTGACAGGAACGTGATTTACATAATTAAAATACAGAATAATATACAAATTATAAGAGAGGGTTTGTGATTTATTTTGGGATGAAGTCAGTATTTAACTTGCGCTTTCCGACATTATGCGTATTTCGCACACGGTTAAGAAAAAAAATGCAATTCATTTATTTATAAAAAGTTCGAATGCATCAATCCTACATCACAGGACCATGTACATAATTTGTTGAATGTTATTTCGTGAATACACAAATTGCATAACACATTCCCTGAGGACAAACCCAAATTGCCCGTCCCTTTGTGACAGGTGTTAATTAGAGAATGTATTGCCACCATATTATGTCCCGGCACTTTTATGACATGTAATGAACCTAGTCAATCCCTGGGTCTGTAACAACAACATGGGTCTAATAAAATCAAAGTAACATAAATGTTACGTCATTCGAATTAAAAAAGAGACTGAAAAAATGTAACATGAATATAATTGCCCTTCTGAGGGTAATATAATTTTGGGAAAATATACGTTTTCTTGTATTTATGGACGACTTCACACAAGCTGAAAAATTAAACATATGTTTATATAGCTATATTTACATACATGGCATTAACATGTAATAATAATATTGACCATGTTTGTTAATTTGTACATTTCGTTGTTATTGGTATCCTGAGTATGTTGTAATAATGCATGTGTTCTGATCTTATTTGACGTAGATTACATGAACTAGTAGAGTGACTTTCTTTCAGCAGCGTGGAAGGATTACCCACACATATACCCTTAATCCTTTGTCAAACAGAAAGAAGTCATATAGATATCATATCTAACTGGTACTAAAAGTTCACTATCAATCTCCTCTGATAACAAACTTACATTTAATATCCCCAAGCTACAATACCAAGCATTCTCATGGAGTAATTATGAGAAACCCGAATGATATCCTGTCTACGTGGTCACACCCGGTGATTGTTAAGACATTCAGACAATATGGCAGTCTGTATTCATTTCTTATATCCCAAAAGTCCCCACCAAGCTTCCTTTTATTAACATTGGGACGAGGGGAGATATACATATTGTATTAAATAATACATCAATACATCAAAACAGAACAAAAAAGATAGGTCAACAGTGCGGTTGATGGAAAGGGGTTTCCTAAGAAAAGTTATTTAACTCTTTAATGCTTAATACGTGTCTCAAAGTATGTATTAAGTCTTACTACTAGTTATTATATATGTGCAAATCCACCCGAACGTCGGATGTACATGGCCGATTTCAAAATAGCTAAATTAGGCACTGTTCAAATTGTTTCCAATAAACCACTGATTAGAAACTCACTTAACCTTTAGAATAGAATCGTTTCTAAATATATTGTAGTTGGGGCATGTGTAAAAATTAATGCAGTGTACCATTGTGACAGCCACAAGAGCATGCATGATGTGTTATCTGAGATGTGTTTTTTAAGCCGATGGAAGTTTAAAGTGACAAAATCTGGTATCATGGCTTAACTGAATATAACATTGTCTAAGTTTAATAATCCTCTTTTTCCGGTGACTATTCCAATTATTAATAGTATCAGGTAGGAATGACTTGCATTCAGTTCTACAACGTGTAGCCTGTGAATTGGTTAGATTTATTTATATGTAATCACTAACAGCAAAGATGTTTTCCATCTTGTAAAAAGGTGTAATGGCTACGTTGGTCTCACTCTACATTTTCACGTGGCTTGTACCTCTTATTGGCCCACAAATAGTCCGTAATCAGTGAGTGGGCGAGGTAAAAATTAACGTCTCATCGGCATTATTTCAGCGTCCGTAATGAATTAATGTGTAGACATTCTAGGATTAATTCTTTTTCTTTGGTACAATTATCCAAAACATGGGAGCAAAATATTGGCAATATATATATGCTTGTTCATGACTTATGTAAAAGGGGTTATTTATCTGAGTGATTGAGTATGGTTCACGGCGGTGGACACCAGAAAGGTATTTAAGACAATTAATCATAGGGCTTACCTCGTTAACTCGCCAATATCATAATCTGACTGAAATATTAATACCAAAGTCCTTTCATTTTAAGATTAGGTTTTGCACTTGGGCACACTTTGACGTGATATTGAACAGTTTTCTTTTTCCCTGGATTAAGTTTTACTTGCATTCATTCATTTGGTAATTTTCTCCAAATTGGCATTAATATTTTATGCAGTAGTATTTGGAACTGTCCATTTTGGGAATAGGGTTGACCCCACCGCAAGCACAGTAAACAGAAATGCCAAGGTGAATAATATGTACTATAGTTTGTTGGCTCGACATGCAAGACTCCATAATTTTAGCTATAAATTCATAGTAATATTAAATTAATTTTTTTTATAAAGAATTCATTGATGTATTTGACATGAGACGTTGCGACACTCATGTATTTTATAATAATGTACAATTTCAATGCCTTAAATCTGTTGCATTAAACAAATTCTTTGATTTGATGTTGTCATACTGTGACTCAATTTGTGTCTAGTCTTCCAAATGTTCTATTGCGAATACATACAGTGTCAGCGCTCATGATACCCATATCTATGAATGGATGAAAATATCATCATTAATAAACTTACCTGAGCTCAATATGTGTTCTGAAGACAAATCGCTGTAAAGCATTTTGCACGGCTTCGTTCACGTTCACCCTCAAATGTACGAAAGGAAAATCTGCAACTGTGCGTGTTCAATGTTCGTTTGCATTTTTGTGACAGGCGGTCGTTATTTTCATTAAGATTCCACAAATTCATAAATCACAACTGATGTAGCTGCCTTGGTTAACTGGAGTCAGGATATAACTAATTACAAACTCTGTTATAATTATGCTAATCGAGGAAGTGCATTATACTGGATGACAAACTTAGTAATCCTTTCACACTAATCCTTGTTTACAATGAACGCATGTCAAATGACTAAATAAACATCCTTTTTTATTTTCTTAAGTAGAAGTATCACAATGGGCGGTGAACACAACTGTTTGTAGAATGATAGTTTCAGAAAGGAATACAAATACAAATATACAGAAAGGGGTTTAAAATGGTTTCTTTCTTTGCATCCACGCATTGTTGTTGTGGATGCGGTTATTTGCTGTCGGAATTGTTTTTGTAATTCAATTAGTTAATTACATGTCACATGACAACTGCATGTCACGGGGGCCTGGACATAAATCACGTGGTGCACTATTAGGCCTATAATAACCCCCAACCTTGATTCCGCATCAAATCAAAAACTCCTGAATCCTCATCGACTCCTGAACACTTAGATTTTGACGTTGTCATCTTGATCATCAGAACCATCAAAGGCGGCAAAATACAGTAAGCAACTTTTGTCCCACTTTTCAATTCAGATGTAGACAAGTACAACACGTTTAGTAATGATTTAAAAAATTGTACGAGTTTCTTAGTGTCAATAATTAGTAGAACAGACGTAAAACAGACATACGAATGGACACGTTATAGACAACAATCCTATATATTTTAGTAACAATTTAGTAACAGTTGGAGTGACCAGTATATATTTGCAAAAAATAGATTTATAAAAGTTCAGCTTATTAAGTACCCATCAAATAGAGCTGCATGTGTCAGGGACCCAATCTAGATAGCGCCAACATCTAGAACCGCTGCGCCGGAAGTAGGTAACGTTTCTAGCTCTTACGTCGAGTAAAATCAGAAATGATTCACGTGATACATATATGATGTACATATATGTGAACAGCCTCTCGTTATTAATGCCCTTTAATTGTAGTCATCTTACTATATGATCGTTTGTGCCACACAAAGCTATAAGTTCCGTAATAAAAATACGGAAAAATGAACAGATTAATCTCATGGACATATTCAAAAATGGTAGCATAACGAATGAAGTAATGTTTTAATTTCCGTTCCCATAATACTGTTTATATGAAACACCGTTAGCAACTTGAATGGGAATAAACAGTGGTAGCTGTCACTAGCCAAAGGATACTAGACTATACAAGAACAGTTTTAGCATCTCACACCGTCCCGACAGGCGCCAACCTCTCAAATATTGCACAACATATATTGATGGCGTAGTATGATATTAATATTACATTGTTTCTTGAATACTGTGCGAAGAATATTTTGTACGATGGCAAGATTCAAAACAAGTATCATTATCTTCTTTGCGAGGAATTTAGAAGTTGGAGTATTGAGAGAGGATAAGATCTGTGGATGAACAACATCACTTGCTTGATAATGGTGTTACAACATACACCTAAGCGTCGCTCCTAACTGTAATAAAGACGTTGTTCATCAATATATCTTATCTCTACTCATTATCGCTAAAATTAGACAAAACTGTAAAAATGGTTTAACATGTGTGGTAGCACAGCTAGTCCCTGTAAAATTTTCATTTAAAAAAAATAAATGAAAAATCACAGCGCACAGGGAAATTGAGCGAGGCTCAATTCGAACGGTATTCCCATGTTATGATATGTTTTTTCTGAAAATGTACATGAAGCGGATTGGTCAAGAAGTTTATATGAAGACCACTCCGGAATACAATGATTCAAAAATGCATACATGATATTGTAAATATATCTAGATTTTTAGACAGGATAATGCATAGATAATATTCCAACAGTCAGATTAACCAGATTAAACAGATTCCTCTACGCTGGGCAAACACTGGTCTATGTAGAATCATATAGTTATTTGGGACTACGGGTTGACGAGCATCTAGATATGTGAAACTGTGAAAGAGTTGTACAATTCTGCCAGCCATGCTTTGTCTTATTCTGTTGGGTGTATGTCTTATGATGTTTTTTATGAAACTGTATGAAAGTCTTGTTGAGCCGGTAATGTTCTATGGCTCTGGTATATGAGGATAAAACGTTAATCTAATCCAAAATAGAGCCGGTAAATTATTTCTTGGTGTTAGTAACGGTACCGCCATGTATAGCCACTAATGGAGACATGGGTCTCTCCTCCCCGTTTGTTACATTACATGCTAATGTTTTTAGACTACCCCAAGATTAATAACAGTACTTGTAACGCTTTGATGAAGAAAATGGTTACTATGTAAAAGTTCATGGAGTACTAAAGTTGTTAAAATTGCCTGTAATCTTAATATTTATGATGTTATGAATATTATGACTGCTCCAATGTCCCGAAAGAAGAAAATTGCCCATATTAAAAACGTTCTCGTAAACAAAGATGAACAGAGCTGGAGAACAGAGCTTTGGAACGATAAACATAACGTTAAGGGCAATACATTAAGAACTTTCATGATCGTAACGTTGTTGCTCCTTATGTTTTAAATACAGGGACCACCGTCGCATTTTAGCTAGTTTTAGATCTGGATCGAAACAGGACGATTTACAACCCCCCAAACCTTTTAGAAAATAGAATTTGCCCGCACTGTTTTAAAATTGTTCATTAAAGTTTGTCGAAAATGAATTTCACTTTATTAAATGTTATGTCCTTTATGATCTTAGAAGTATTTTACTTAGATAATGGTCATCTCTTTTGAAACACGTGACGCATTCATAAAATAACTTCCTCTGTAAGGTTCACACCCAATTGTCAGACATCCCATTTGGCAGGTGACCGAATCATCAGACAGACCAGTCAAGTGTGACCAGTGTATTCGCCTGGTCTAAACTACTAATTACTGTGCTGCTCTCGACTGTGGGCAGAGTAAGCTATTCAAACTCGTTAAGTGATACAGATTAACCAGATTCCTCTACGCTGGGCAAACACTGGTCTATGTAGAATCATATCGTTATCTGGGACTACGGGTTGACGAGCATCTAGATATGTGAAACTGTGAAAGAGTTGTACAATTCTGCCAGCCATGCTTTGTCTTATTCTGTTGGGTGTATGTCTTATGATGTTTTTTATGAAACTGTATGAAAGTCTTGTTGAGCCGGTAATGTTCTATGGCTCTGGTATATGAGGATAAAACGTTAATCTAATCCAAAATAGAGCCGGTAAATTATTTCTTGGTGTTAGTAACGGTACCTCCATGTATAGCCACTAATGGAGACATGGGTCTCTCCTCCCCGTTTGTTACATTACATGCTAATGTTTTTAGACTACCCCAAGATTTAATAACAGTACTTGTAACGCTTTGATGAAGAAAATGGTTACTATGTAAAAGTTCATGGAGTACTAAAGTTGTTAAAATTGCCTGTAATCTTAATATTTATGATGTTATGAATATTATGACTGCTCCAATGTCCCGAAAGAAGAAAATTGCCCATATTAAAAACGTTCTCTTAAACAAAGATGAAAAGAGCTGGAGAACAGAGCTTTGGAACGATAAACATAACGTTAAGGGCAATACATTAAGAACTTTCATGATCGTAACGTTGTTGCTCCTTATGTTTTAAATACAGGGACCACCGTCGCATTTTAGCTAGTTTTAGATCTGGATCGAAACAGGACGATTTACAACCCCCCAAACCTTTTAGAAAATAGAATTTGCCCGCACTGTTTTAAAATTGTTCATTAAAGTTTGTCGAAAATGAATTTCACTTTATTAAATGTTATGTCCTTTATGATCTTAGAAGTATTTTACTTAGATAATGGTCATCTCTTTTGAAACACGTGACGCATTCATAAAATAACTTCCTCTGTAAGGTTCACACCCAATTGTCAGACATCCCATTTGGCAGGTGACCGAATCATCAGACAGACCAGTCAAGTGTGACCAGTGTATTCGCCTGGTCTAAACTACTAATTACTGTGCTGCTCTCGACTGTGGGCAGAGTAAGCTATTCACCACTCGTTAAGTGATACAGATTAACCAGATTCCTCTACGCTGGGCAAACACTGGTCTACATCATATAGTTGTCATAATGAAAATAGTATTAAAGCATTATTGTCACATGCAATAATTATACTGTTCGGTATCATTAGTAAACTTTGCAACCACATTATGTGAAACATTCTATAAGAGGTGAGGAAATTGAATGAAGCAGTGGTAAAATCTAACCATATATACAAAATTGTATATTTTGGAAATACCAACTATACAAAATTGTATATTTTGGAAATATCAAATATACAAAATTGTATATTTTGTATATATGGGTATTTTTTCTTGTGCTCTAAATCCTGAAATTTTACGCGAGCGTGAATTAAATGCGAAAAATGCAATAGGTCTTTGCTCGCATTTTTAAACATCGCATTTATATCAACAATAAGACATTTTGGATAGCAAAAATACCAACTTAGACATACGCTGATGTATTCCACACCACTGTTTATTGAGCAGCACATTCAAACACTAATTACATCCTGTGAATTATCACTGCTGGGGTCAAGACAAGAGTTCTACTCACTAATGTCATCACTGGTCACACCTGCAAGTCCAGACAGACGCCACCCTTTGTTCTTAGTGACTGCGTCAAAGGCCGACACGAGCCAGTGCGCATGTATTGTTTTTGCGGAAGTACTTTACTCAGCGCTAATAAGCGGTGCTATTTGGTGTGTGTTTGGATTAATGTAAGGTTAGATTAAGGTGAGGATTCTAAACCTGACTGAGGACATCTTTAGATAGAAATCCACTGATGCTTGAGAGGAGGGGGTGTCGCTTTCATATTGAGTTGCATTTTTGGCTAGGGTCCAGTGGTCACATTCTTTTGGAGACGAATTAATTTCATGATTTACAGTATATTCTCTTGTGTATAGTATGGATTTTGTTTCAAGAAAACGGCAGTGCAGAAGGGGCATAGAATTGTATTGATATTATTATTCAAGACTTTGAAAGGCATTTAGAAGTGATACACATAAGGAAGAGTATTTGTCAACTTCTTTATCATGAGGAACAAAACTTTTCAGAGTATATGCCTGTCTACCAACCACAACAATTGGCGACCAAGAAAACTACAAGAAGCCTTTGACATCAGGAGACACCAGCCAGCCATGAACCCTAACCAGGGAACATATCTGTCTAGTGCTTGGGACTTATTGCTGTGATCTTTGTCGGTGCCTATCATCCCAGCTGGCTTCCCTTTGCCCCTTGCTATTTCTCAACCTGGGTCTCTGCTTGACAACCAAACTCTTTACATCATTACCCTAATAGAGGCAACCAGGGCTCAATTGCTTCCATAGTTTATGTGAATAGTATAGAACAAGGAAATCTTACGTCTGTGAGCGAGAGATGACACACAAATAATGCGACTTGGCGCCGACTTCTTTAGGAGGTCCAGGAGGAGATTGGTGAGTAGGAAGTGGCCGAGATGATTGACAGCAAACTGCATCTCATAGCCTTCCTGAGACTTCCAGTACGGGCAGAACATGACACCTAAGACATGGCGAAAGAAGTGAAAAAACAAGTTAAGTACCCTACAAAATTATGAGGAGCCGTTTATCATGTAAATATAAAGCTCGTGAGGGAGCTTGGTGCCATGCAACAATGGGTGACTAACTCAGTATAAATAAAATCTACAAAGAGTTCTGGATATTTTTCAAATACACTCAAACCAAAAGAAATGCGAACCATAGAAACATGTAGAGAAGTATGTACGTTAAGAAGAGATGTTTCCAATGGGTACCGCTTAATGATAAAACTAACAATCAGTCAAGTGCTACCACAGTGTCCTTATTCTTATCACGATATGCTGCATGTGATTTCCAAACTTTACATGCTAATCCTACAGGAGACAAATGGTGCATCTCGAGTCATGGATCTATGACGTCACATGTGATGCGTCTGTGAACGTCGGTTCACACAACATATCAGTATGTTCGTTTGTGCATCAAACCAATCTAATATCTCTTGAATATGAGTAATTTGTCATATATTATTACTAACCAACATGTATGGTATTCATGTTTTTCTTGTGGCTGAGTATACAAATCACATCATATCTATTGGCCTATGACGTTGAGTTGAGCTCAACATCCTATGACTCCCACTATAGTTGTGTTTGACGAATATTTTCACCTGACATCTGAAAAGTCTCACCTGCATTGTTGATCAAAACATCAAGCCTCTTTTCCTTCTCTGTGACTTCACGAGCAAATTTCCTCACCGATTCCAGCGATGCGAGGTCGACAACTCTGACAACGACTTCTGGATTGCCGGTGTTCTTCCTGATATCATCCGCAGCTCTCTCGGCCTTCGTCACGTCTCGACACGCCAGGATCACTCGGGCACCTGAAACAACCGCAGTACATAACTAGACATCGATGTGTTGTTCAACACCACACTCACCAGGATCCTGCTGTGTGATGCCGACCCTGTAAAAACTTGAGTCTGACCAGACAATCCAGTGATTGACATTGTTAGCAACAACCCACGCTGTCGGAGTACAATGACATGCAATAAACCAAGTCACTGAGTCCATCCACCTGATCCATTTCGTCAACTCATCCATTTTGCCACCTCTTACAGCCAGCATCAGATGCTGGGGGGCCTATTCTAACCCGGAATCCCCATGAGGAGACAAGCATAGGTTGCTGGGGACCTATTCTAACCCGGAATCCCCATGGGGAGACAAGCATAGGTTGCTGGGGACCTATTCTAACTCGGAATCTCCATGGGGAGACAAGCATTGGTTGCTGGGGACCTATTCTAACCCGGAATCCCCATGGGGAGACAAGCACAGGTTGCTGGGGACCTATTCTAACCCGGAATCCCCATGGGGAGACAAGCATACATTGCTGGGGACCTATTCTAACCCGGAATCCCCATGGGGAGACAAGCACAGGTTGCGGGGGACCTGTTCTAACCGGGAATCCCCATGGGGAGACAAGCACAGGTTGCTGGGGACCTATTCTAACCCGGAATCCCAAAAGGGGAGACAAGCACAGGTTGCTGGGGACCTATTCTAACCCGGAATCCCCACTGGGGGTCATGCCTAAAGTACTGTTGGAAATGCCAGAAAAATGCTGTCAGTCAGTTATAACAAGATAGAATGTTTCACAGACTGCAGCTTGAAATATCGAGTAACTACCAATCAACCTACCTGTGGTTTGAAGTATTTCAGTCACAAGGAGTCCTATCGACAATTTCACACAGCAAAACTCAAACGAAAACAGCAAGTTCAGATGCATTTAGTCCAATGATGGAAATCTAACATGGACTTTAGAAATATGCGCATGCGATTCCATTATAACAAAAATAATAATGTCTTCATAAAGAATCTAATCTATAAGAAAAAGTCAATTGGAGAAAAATCTAGATGTGCACCTTGTGAAATAACAAAATGCTGATGCATTTTTTTGTCAATACTCCCATGCTGCATTGCACGTGCATAGCCATGGTGCACGACATGGAGTCTGCAGTAGGTTTTGTATACAAGTTCTTTACACTTGAGAGAGATAGAGGGTAACCATTTATTAGATTAGAGTGTATTAGCTAACTGGCCAAGTTCTTGGACTTCAATACAGGTCTGAAATCAAAGTTCAACCCATGAAAAACAATCTGCCTGAACAAGAGTGCATATTGTTTCAGTCTTGGTCTAGTGAGTAAGTTGGGTTTATTGCCGCTTTTAACAGTATTCCAGTTATATCACATCGTGTCAGCTTAATGTGGGAGGAAAGCCCGAAGTGATGCAGGTCTCAGACATTTACCACTTCGGTGAAACCCACGGGCACGGGTATGTTGCTGACAAACCTAGAAACATAATCGGGGTGAACCTGGATTTGAACCCACAATCATAGGTTTCTGGCGTGCCCAAGGGAGGCAACTCTGCACAGCGAATCGCAGCGCCTTAGATGACTGGGCCACCCATGCCCCCACCTGAATAAGAAACCAGTAAAGTACAAGATAGATGGCAGTACCTCCAGTATGACGGCGTAGATATTAGCTTTGATGCACCGGTTATAATACCTTTGGATGAAACTTGAAAGTACAGATTCAGATATGTCATTAGCTGAGTCAGATGCTGGCTAAAGAGTTCATCTGAAGAACAACAAATACTTCTTGATTTAAAAACAACAACCTTCCAATAATAATCAGTGATATTTCACAGTTGGGACTCTTTCCTGTGCTTACCGAAAGAAACACATCTCATAGCAACAAGTGATGTCTAATTTCTCCATAAAACGTGATTTTCCATTTATGGTACACATTCCTAGCAACAGCTGATGAGTTCTGTTCCAAGAAACCAAGAAGTAAATGATGGAACTTTTAAGCATGTTAAGTCAGAAGCAGCATTTTTCAGCATTTTGAAAGTTCTAAAACTATTCAGTGAAACTTTTCTAGGATTATCATGATTATTGTTTCACAAAAGACATTTTTTTCCTAATGTAACATTACTGACTGATGTGTACCAATGAATATGCACTTGTGACTGTTTTTGTGCCAATTTTTACAAATTGTGTGAACCGTGCAATGGGCCTGGCCTGGCTGAACATGATACAGGAAGACTGTGCACCTTGTTTCACCTCCCGACCAATCAGCTTAATCCTATAGTTACCTCTTCCAGCTAGGTCTCTTGCAGTCTCTCTCCCAATGCCACAATTGGCCCCAGTGATCAAAACAGTTTTGCCATCAAGACGAGCTCTACTGTGGCAAACACCACCTCCAAAATATCTCCTCAGTGCATGATAGCCGACACCTAAAACAAAAAAAGAAATGAGGACTTTATCATGTCTAGTCACTGGAATCAGTTGTATCATTAGCATGATTAGAGCTAATCTCATTAAAATCAGATCTTAGTTCTCTCTACCGCAAAACAAAGATCTGAGGACATTCCATTAGGGGTCACGTCAGAACGACCTTTCATCCGACCAATCAGAGCATTGCCTTCCAGATCATGAAAGTGAGAGTCGGAATGTGATTCCTAATCATGCAACCTTGAAAACTCTAACATGGGGTATTCCGAACGACTGAATCCATACAATCTAGACCATCTATTAGCCATTCCAGAATGTTCTTTTGTTCAGGTTTCAAAGTTTTAATCGAGAATTTGTCAAAATATGTTTCGAAGCGTAGTCGCCAATTTGAAATTAGTGCCATAAGCACGAGAAAGCTGCCTTCAGATTGGCTAATGTCGACTTCTTGTCAGTCATTCAATTGGTCGGTCAAAGTTCGCAAAAGGTCGGTCTGACATGACCTGTAATGGGATGTCCTCAGATCTTTGTTTAGTGGTAGCAAGAACTAAGATCTGATTTTAATGAAATTGGATTAGAGCAACCATATACAGTCCCAGGGTAGGAATGTTTTAGTTTAAGGTTTGTGGCACTAATTTCAATCAAGAAAAATGTGACTGCTTAACATTGCCAGAATGTAACGCCTTCAACATACTCTGTGATTTGGTGTACCGAATAATCCTATTGTCAAAAATGTGCTATTATACATTATTATGTAGGGTTATACACAGACAATATCAGAATATATTAAAAACTTTACTATCAATATACTTTCATTTTGTGCATGCACATACAATAATTATTACCCCGAGTACTGTGAAACCACGAACACGCCATTCAATTTCGTTTTCACATTTTTTTGTTAAGATCTTTACCTTGTAGTTGTTCAGACATTAAAAGCGTAAAGGACATCACCAAATGTCAGTGTCATGAAACGAAACTGAATTTGAAAGCTAAGTTAGTTAAACAAACAGACTATCAGCGTATCATCGTCTACAGACTGAGGACCATATCAGAATATATTGACGTGAAATGTGTGTGATTGAAATACAAACCGCCAGCAACCACGAGAACAATTTTCTTGTAACTCCAACAAAGTCCCAGCACTTTCACAGTTGCATTCTGCATAAACTTCAATGTGTCTGCCGCCATTTTGAACAGAACAGATCACGTGATCCTATTTTCCTGTCTCCACAGGGGAGAGTAACACCGAGAAAAGCCGATCAAATCCGACTGTATGCATTGATTATTTAAGACATAAGGACAGTGACATTACGTTATCGAAGTATAATATTATGCAATTTGTTCTTTGCTTTATCCGCACATCTATAGTTGAAACGGTTTGAGACGTGTTATCAACGTTCTGTTATGAGGAAAGTAAGGTGATTGATAATCGAGAATATGAAATGCGCAAATCGGAGTTGAGCAAATTTGATAAATTAGAGAATCAAGGAGGGATTGAAAAGTAATGTTCTGTTGTTGTTTTTTATGATCAAAATGACGCGATGTTTTTTCTTTAAATGATTGGGAAATAAATTCATTATAGAACGTACGTTTTTATATACAACGGTTTTTTTTTAATATATATATATATATATATAATTATATATGTGACCGCCTCCGTGGTCTAGTGGTAGAGCGTCCGACCGGCAAGCGGAGGGTCCGGGGTTCGATCCCCGGCCGCGTCATACCAAAAGTCGTTAAAAGATCGTTCTTGTTGTTACCCTGTCTGCCGCTCGGAATTAAGAGGCTAAAACAAGGACTGGTCGGCTCGGAGTCAGTATACTGTGTCTGAGTGGGGTATTCATGTTAAACTGCTTCAGGTATCTCAGTGAGCTAGCACTATAAATCGGCATCAGTCCGGACTAGTACAAGCAGCCACACACACACACACACACACACACGTGCATGCACGTCGCTCTATAAGTGCAATAATCTTGGACGCGACGTTAAACCCCATTTCACCTCACCTCACCTCACTTAAGTATGTTGTGATTTTATTTCATGAAGCAGTGAGAAAATTGAGCGAAAATATCCTTCTCCCCCGCAAATATGTTGTTTCACTGTTTTCGCCCTTACAGGATGAAATCGGTTATATAACAGCAACAAAACAAAACAAAACCCTTTCCATATTCATAAGAAAATCAGAGTCGGTTGTACGTTGTCTATATCATGAGCATGTTGTTTTTGAATCACTATCAAATAGTGATGACATCAGGTGTTCGGTAAAATGTGAGCGTATCCTGTCCCATCGGTGGCACCCGTCACAAACACACGCAAAGGCAAGTCAATTGTTCGCCCGACCAAACACAGGAACATATGGTTCATGTCAAACTGGGGAATTGCATCAGACTTCATATTTGTCACTGATGCCTCAAATTTGGAAATGTCCTCCTTGGTTGATGCATGTCATCGTGTCCCAATTGCATGGATCGATGCTCATGACGTTAATCTCTGGATTGTCTGGTCCAGACTCGATTCTTTACAGACCGCCGTCACATAGCTGGAATATTGCTGAGTGCGGCATAAACAAACAAACAAACAAACAAACAAACTGTGCATTACGATGTAGAGTAACAAAACACATCAAGAAGACTGCAATATAGAGGGATGTCTTCAACTTTCCAATTGCCAATTTTCACTTTGTCACGAAATACTCCTGTAGTTCCAGCCTTTGGTTTTAACTTTTCACAACTTTTGTGTTACAGCCGATCATGCTTTCTCAGAAAAGTTCAAGGAGCGTCATACGACTCATGTATTTAACGTTGTTTTATCAAGGTTACAACATTCATGTCTGACATAAGAATCTGACGCATCAGTGAAAACAAGGATGTACAAAGCAATTCCTTTATTTCTTTTTCATCCCCGATAATTCCCGTGGCGTTTTTAGGCGGATAACTGAAAGCTATATTCTGTTTTATTAATTTCCTTAATTGTGCTAAAATCCTATAATATGAACGTTTGTGACGTCAACGACATTTCACCGCACCTTGTGCCTCGCCAGACACGCAGGGGAGTGAAGCAATATAAATGGTACCTATCAAATTATTATTCATGTCTCATTATTAATAATAAAAATTAGTTTCCCTTGTGCCAATCCCCCGCCAAAAGCAGCTCACGTAACAGAAACAGTCAAGGGTTGTTCTTTAAAGTAAAGCGCATGACATGCACGTTCATACATTAAATAGAGTGAGTGAGTGAGTATGGTTTTACGCCGCTTTTAGCAATATTCCAGCAATATCACGGCGGGGGACACCAGAAATGGGCTTCACACATTGTACCCATGTCGGGAATCGAACCCGGGTCTTCGGGGTGACGAGCGAACGCTTTAACCACTAGGCTACCCGACCGCCCCTACATTAAATAGAAATATAATTGAATAACATGTAGGAGTAAAATTAAAATAGGCAAAACCATTTACTTATTTTGAAAGCTTTGCCGAGGCCTTGAAACCTTGAACCTTTACACAAGAGTCTTCGTAGAAAGAGCTTGCCTGAGCCTTAAAAGTTGTGAAATCTAGATACCAAAGGCTGCAGTTTCGGGAATATTTTCGACATAAAGGTAATGTTGATAATTGAAATATCAGTCTCGATTATCCGCTGAAACAGGTGAGGTGAGGTGAAATTTGGTTTAACGTCGCGTCCAAGATTATTGCACTTATATAGCGACGTGCATGTACGTGTATGTGTTTGTGTGGCTGCTTGTACTAGTCCGGACTGATGCCGATTTATAGTGCTAGCTCACTGAGATACCATGCCGCAGTTTAACATGAATACCCCACTCAGACACAGTATACTGACTCCAAGCCAACCAGTCCTTGTTTTAGCCCCTTAGTGCCGAGCGCCAGACAGGGTAACAAAAAATACCATCTTTTAACGTCTTTTGGTTTGACGCGGATCGAACCCCGGACCTTCCGCTCTCCGGGCGGACGCTCTACCACTAGACCACGGAGGCGGTCTTCGCCGAATCAGATTCCACTCGACGTAAACGGCAAATAGCGGTGAAAATGATATGAATGGATCACTGAAAATCAGTGATGACACCTGGCCAGGTTTTCGCGAAATGTGTAAGCATGGCCTGCCCTACCGGTAGAACCCGCCACTGAAACAATTTGCATAAAAACGTAAGTGCCTATTGCCCGACGCTGCACAGCAGTACTCCTGCCTTATATTTACGACGGCCGCCTGTAAACAAACCGGACAATCAAGTGATGGAAAGCGTATCTACTGATTTTGTTAAAACTAAACACGATATGTTAATTTTGAATTACGTCTGTTGCGTACAAGGGCAGAGATTGTGTTGCTTATAAGTAGAGAAAAATCTTAAAAAAATATTAGACTAATATCTAGTCTCTGAAATGAACTTATTTTAAGGATAAAAATAGTTGCATATTGTAGTTAAGAAATATCATAAAAACGAGTCCAGAGACCCACTTCATTTCATTGATACTGTTGTAATCTAGACTTACTAAATATTATAGACTTGCATGGGCTGTATCGGATATAATTGTTTCAGGGTCTGAATGACAGACTAAAGAAATATGTTTCGTTTTGCAACACAGTGGGGACAGTTTTAGAGTCTTGGCCCAAACGTTTCTTTTGTAATTGACTCAGGATACTTGATAAATGCTACTGAGCTTATGATGAATATCGGGGAATGTGTCCACAAGGCGAAACATCGACCCAGTTCAAGTAAATATATTAAACATTGGAGACACAATAAAGTTGATCTTGAAATTGATAGGTTGCATAGATAGATGCACAACAATATTCCAGTCAGGTTTGCATTGTTCAAAGCAACAGCTGCGTTGCAGGCTCTCCTCCCACATTAACCCATCTTCGTCTATACCAGCCACCTGTAGTGGAGAAGAACTAAAGAATAACTGAATTGCCTTTTTCCCCATCAACCAACATGTATTTTCCTGTAAAAATCCGTAAATAAAAGTTAAAAGCACGTGGCCTTAGTAGTGAAACGCTAGACAATGGCGTCTCAGCGACCACACGACATGGTTGGAATGTCATTCCAGATCTGGGCCAAATCCTGTCACAGCTGGATCAACGTTTTGACGTCGGCGTTAACGACGTTGTATTTCATCCCACACAAGTCTGACCACACGTGTAACGTGAGAGCGCGCTTTGTCCTGCTGTAAAGTGATTTGACGTCCATGGGTCTGAAGGAACAGGGGGGAGGCGGGGGGATATATTCGTCACGGTACCGTACACCTGTCAAATTGACATCGATAAGGCTCCTGTGATGTGCAGTGAAGCCCCCTACACCGTTATGACCCACCGCGGAATGCAGAACGTTGAAAAAGCCACGTGTCGACGTAACTTTCCATCCGACGTCGATAAACACGCTGACGGCCATCCTTGCTGTCAAGATGAAACCTGGACCCATCTGTGAAGTGAGTGAGTGAGTTTGGTTTTACGCCACTTTTAGCAATATTCCAGCAATATCACGGCGGGGGACACCAGAAATGGGCTTCACACATTGTACCCATATCGGGATTCGAACCCGGGTCTTCGGCGTGACGAGCGAACGCTTTAACCACTATGCTACCCGACCGCCCCCCATCTGTGAAGAGGACTAACCTCCACTACTCATTCCTGAACCTAAGAAGTTGTCTTGATCATGCCAGGCGAGGAGTTAGATGACGTACAAGCAAGACATCGTGGTCGGATGGTATGTTCCCGCAATCGACCCCTCACAGTACTTGAACTAATCGGACGTACGCCAGGGGTGCTGAGCAAGTTGATGTTATCAACGTTGCAATCTGATACCGATTTCTCAGCAGAACCAGACGGTTACAACTATCTTGCCAACGTGGCGTTACCGTGGACGTCTTGAACGGCCTATGGCGTTGCCGGTCTGTTGGTACCAACTGTACGATGTTGCGATGAACACCCATACGCCAATTCCGGTTTGAGTTAACATTTTGACTCGCTGATAAGTAAGGAGACATGGGGCGAGCACACATGCAGCCATCTTGGTTAATAAGTCATCGCGATATTTCGTGATTCTATTTCAAGTGCCGAGGCCCATAACGTCGCATTTAATAATATTGCATAACATATACACGAGAGGGAAAACGCTCTCTGCCTCATAAAACACCACATTCAAATAACATTGTCATAGATTGTTTCAGAATAATGCATGATAATCACATGTACAAACACTT